AGGTTAGCTTCTCATGTAACTATTCAGTCAACATGACTTAATACACAACAAGGAGAGGTGTATTATTATTGAAGGCAGTAAAATTATAGTTCCCTTAAATGTTTATGATGCAAGCAAAATCAATTCAAAGAACTAAAAGTTCTTAAACAAGAGATCACTTGATTGGTACAAGCCATAACCAAAACATTAAGGAAAGAAGTATATTCATTTCCTACATTCTGTAAAGCTGAGTATTGCCCACCTTGCCAAAAAAATTTCAAAACCAGCAAAACAATAGAATGGCTGCCAGCTTCTCCAGTAATTAATGGACCACAGGTTTTCTGTTAAATTAATTCAAATTAAGAGATCTATATGAAAATAGAAAACAATATTTGAGCCAGGATCTCTGCTATATGTTAAAGTCAAAATAGAAAAAAAACGGTTGAATGTTATAGAATGACAGTTCATATTAAAACCAAAAATAATTTATTCAGGCATATGGGTCAGTTTTAATGAAGTATATTTCTATGAACTGTATTTTTTGCATTTATAAATAAAAAAATTATGTTGTATTCTTTGCATAATAAAGCCCAACAACTAAAACAAGTTATCAATATCTTTAATAAAAACATAATGAATGATGAAACTCACAAAATATAGTTTCTAAAAATTTTACCAACATCATGTGAAACCAATGATTTGCAAAATTAAGTGCAAATTTTTAAAACCCCAGATTAAAAAAAAATTAGTTAAATTTTTTCATTTAGTATTTGTTCCTTACTCTCAGTCATCAGTATTTTAGTAGAGAGTAAAAAGCAAAATAGAAGTAAATAGCAACTCAGAATGGTAGTACAAAGAGTGATTTATTAATTTTTCAAACAAAATCCTTCATTAGAAATATACTTTTTGAAGAAAATAATTATAGTGGGTGAGAATTAACTGTGAGACTGCAGTAAGAAGAAAAACAGTTTATGTGTATTAACATTGAGAAGTGACAGAGGATTGAAGTGCTAGTGTTGTTAGATGTATATAAAGTAGTAAGTAATGGGAATGGAAAAATGTTATGTAGTCAAGAGAAACAGAAATTCAAATACTTAAATTTACCAGCCTATACAAGAGTAGTTTTTGGAGAAAGAAAAAATAAAATATCTTAATATTTATTTGTTTGTACAGATTGAGCATTCAGTGTTTAGTATTCTATCCATGTTATTGATACACTTGATAGGCTGGTAAAAATGATTATTTAGATTAGGTGAGAATTTATTTTTTCCTATCAGTAATTGATAGTAATATGATTCTAGCTACCAAAGATGAAATTCATTTTTCTGGTTAAAATCAACTTCTTTTCAAATAGAAGAGAATTAATAAATCCTAAAACCAAAGACTTTGTGGTCTACAAACCATCATCAGTTTAAAAAAAAAAAAAAAAAAAAATATGCAGCAAATAGAATAAAATGTTTATTCACTTTTTCTTTTTTTTTTCCACAAAAAGTTTTTTTTCCTTTTAAATATCTAAAATAAGATTTGCAAACTGATAAATATAAACAATGAGGTAAATCTTGTTAAAAAATAAAATTAAAAAGCATTGGTAAAGTAAACAAAAACAAAACTCAAGTCTGAGTGACAGCTGCAGAAGCAAAACTTGCAAAATTTTTGGACAAAAATGTTTAACTCTGCACAGATTTATTATGTATTTTATATATTTCTAAAACCTCAAATATTTGAAAATTTGTAAAAAGTTGTGTATTTGGGATACAAGGCAGGTGAAGAAAAAAAAAAAAAAAAAAGACATTTCCATGTTGGTCAGGTGTGATAAACATTTTACTTACTTGCTTGCTTGCTTTTTACTCAAATGAAAGAAAGGATATAACTTAATAATTTTAATAGGTTTTCTGTCAATAAAGATTATTAAATAATTATTTAAGTCTATTGCGTGTCTAATAGTGAGATAGATTTTCAGTAAAAATTCTACATACCCAAAAGAGGCAGCAATCAATTCATTCATTCATTATTTGTATTGTTGATTTACAAGAATTATCAGAATTGAGTAATTGACCAAATGACTAATAGGGTTAATATAATTAGTATTCACAGGCAATTAAAAACCAAATAAGAATTTAAACCTGTTGATAGATGAAGAATGCTTACTCTTAATTAATGTGATAGGTGCCCAGACATTGTTGACATATTTTTTAACAAGCATTAGTGATATAGTTCTATAATTTCCTAATATGTATTGCTATTTGGTAAAAATTTCAGAAAATTGAATGAAACCATTTCTTTGCATATATGAACTCATCAATTTAAGACAAAATATTTATACCAACAGGTTTGCTTATTAAAAAAAAAAAAAAAAAAAAAAAACTGACGTTTTTACCAGATGAGACAAACCACATTCACAGGAAATTATAGAACACATTGTACAATTCGTATCTATATTATAATCCAGACAACCTGCAAGACATTGTCATCTCTTCATTTATATATAACTATTTAAAAAAAAAAAAAATTGTTTCTTATTACCTATCACACAAAATAGTTTTTAAATACATATGTAATTTATTGTTGAGTAAAATAAAAAAAAAAAATTGAAAATGAATGCAAAAATGTTCATACTGAGTTTGTCTAACCTCCAATATTTCAGTTCTGACTGAAATCCAAATTTGATTTCTCCAACACAACATTCAATGTTACTTTGAATTACACCAATCCAATTTGCACCTGCTAAAAAAAAAAAAAAAAAAAAAATCTAACATTATGGTGTCAAAAAGATATGCTAATACTTGGGATTATAAGAAAAGTAACTTATTTACAGCCAAATAATTTCTCTATTGTTTTTTTTTGTGTGTGTGTGTGTGTGTGTGTGTGTGTGTGTGTGAGGGTTCAAATAAAATATTTCCTTCACTATTAGAGATGTAGTCATCATTAGAAAATCAAATGTATGTTTGTGTAATATATTTTTAGGGCTTGGTTAAAATTGCCTCCTGGATTTTACAAGTACACTAACACTGCTGATTAGTACATAAGATTGTAGAATGCTAATCTTCAAAAAAAAAAAAAAAGATGCTACATGTTAGAAAGACTTTAAGAACCTTGGAAATGATTTGACTAATCATTTACCAACTGTCATACAAAATTGATCTCTTTAAATAACTGACAATCTATTTCAGTTCAGATTCTAGCAATTGGAAGTTGAAAAAAGGCCTGTCAATCATTTGAGAAAAGAATAAGAAAACTACATACCTGTAATGTGATGATGTAAAAATAAAATGTCCAAACAATTTATAATTTTGTAAAATAATACCTATAGTTAAAAAAAAACAAAAAAACAAACTATAACTTAGTTGTAAAAAAATGTATAGAAACCCCAGAAATATCATTAAATCCCTCAAAGCCTTTACCTCTACTGATACATGAAACAGTAATAGTTAAGAGAAAATATTGAACTGAAGAAAGATACCCAAACATTCATAAATATCCAAAAATGTATTAAGTGAAAAAGTGATTGCAATTATTAAAAATTCAAGTCTTTTAAGGTTTCTTAGTTTTTTAAAATCAAAACCAGGAAAAATTACATCCTATCTTTCAACATTAATTGGAGCTTTATTTTTCAATAATTATTGGGGGAAGAGATATCTTGTTTTTAACTTCCAACTGCAAATATCATTCTGCAACTGCTGTCATTTTTTCATCAGCCTAATGTTTCCAACAAAATCATAATTCTCTCCACTAGACGTATGTATATGTGACACTAAACTCATTTCAAACTTATACAAAGTTTAGACATGCCTATTACTCTCATATAATCCAATGAAGTCAGAATCAAATTTATATTATCTTCTCTTCATATATCTTGTTTAGTATTACTTAAAAATTATTTTCAACTCAATTATGAGAATATAACTCCCTTTGCGTTCAGTAAATCTCACTATTTTTTTTATGCACAATGAACTAATCTAATTAGCTAGATCAATGAATACAGAAAGATTAGTATTCAAAATTCTTCTTTATTAAAAATTAAATATGCAGCATTTTTATACCCAGTGTATAATAATAGATTATTACTATTTGTTTAAAAGCCTACATTGGCCAATCTCAGAATCATAAATATTTAATATTTCATATATATGATTTAATCCCATCTAATAAAAACACTTCTTTCATAGATTTAAAAAAAAAAAAAAAAAAAAAAAAAAAATGTTGGGAAGGGTTGCTATGACTTGAAATCTAAAATGTATTTTGCTGCAAAGTGATTACATTATACAGAAAAAGTAGTTTCTTATTAGTTTAGCTTTCAAGTGATAAATTAGAAAAAAACATTCTTATAGTTTATGCATTGCAAAGGAATTATCACACAGAATAAACAGAATAAATAGACTATTCTGTCAGTAGAAAGGAGGTTTACAAGAAGGTTTATAAGTCTGAAAAATAAAAAGATGGACTGACAAACCAATGCAAGAACTCACTTTTCTTGTCAGGCTTTGCCATGTATTATTTCACAATGAATTGTCATAAAGCAATTACTGATTAAAAAAAAAAATAAATAAAAAATAAACACATACACATATAATATCTTTGATGAATAAGATTAAAAGAATGTTCTCAGGTCATCTGTTAATGAGACATACATAAACCTAGTGTATGCTTATAAAAATTAGTTATTCACCCACAATACTGATTTTGATCTGTGTGTTATGATTCAAGACTGCAGTCTCCGGACTTGTCACAAAAGTGATTTTTTTTTTCGTATTTCACCAACAAGTTTTTTGTTCATAATTTAAGTAGCCCTCACAAAAATAGAAATAATGTATTCAGTTTAAAATAGAAAATAAATAGGACAAGGGTGAAGCATGAATGCTATGACAATGTTAAAACATTTTTTTAACTCATGAAGAAAATGCACACTTTATCAAAAAGCTTCCCTGAACAATGAATACCCTGAAGGATTGCATCCATAGAGGAAACACCGAGATTCCCACAGAATTTTGGTCCCATTTTTATTAAAGAATAATGTAAATTTTTTATAATATCACATTATTAGCAAGTCTGTCTGTGTCCTCATCAGGTACTAACTGTTTCAGAACACTTCGTAAGCAACTGGTTGATTCTTGTAACCCATAGTTGGTGAGGTAACGTTTGCCCCAACATTGGCGATAGTTTTCAATCAACTCCAGAAGCCTGAAAGAAAAAAATAAAGAAGTATATTAAAAAAGAAAAAAAATTTTGATGCTATTTTTCAATTTTTTTTAAAGATACATTTCCCAAGTTTTATTGTAATTTCAATTTTTGTAAATTTATATTTGTTTTAATTGAAAGCAAACTATTACTTTCACAACCTGTAATTTCTATTTTTTTAAATTTTGTTGCACTTTGGATTTTGTCATTTTATAAGCCTTTTTCAGAAAAAATACTTCTATAAAAATAAAATGAAAAACACATATTCAGGTTCTAAAGATGACAAACTAGAAATTTTTCTTTTCAAAATATTAATGTTTTTTAAATAAAAATATTGATTAATGAGCATGTTTTTCTAAATGATTATCTGGTAAATTCATTACATTTTGAAAGAAAAAACCTATAAAATCCCTAATTACCAATTGTTTTAAAAATTGGTTATCTACAATAGGTTTACTGGTGTTATTTTTAACCAATATAGTGTGTGTATGTTTGTTTCAAATGTAATCTATATTTCTTAAATACCTGAATGCATAATTTGGATATTAACTGAGAACTCCAGTTGTGTCATATATCATCTCAAGTTTATCAGAAAGATTGTCAATTGAAAAGCTATTTTCAAAAATAAATAAGAACAATGGTGGGGAGATTCATTTGAGAAACTGGATGTAAAATGCTTTTCATCTGTTTCTTTATAGTTGAAGGATAAAAATTTGAATTTTAAAGCTTACTCAAGTTTGAAATTATATAGCTAAAAGGTTTAGCTTTTAACAATGGAAACTAAGATTAACATGAAGTCAAAAAAGCTTAAAATGTAAAAATTATACACTTGAAACTTTCTTTTAGAATTTTACATTGGCAATAACTCAAACACTGCTGAAACATCTCTGCAATAATTCCAATGTTACCACTTCATGTATCCAGGAAGATTTATAGGAGATAGGAAGAGTTGAAAACATAAAAAAATGTTTTTCCATCGTTTTGCTTGAAAAATGTCACAACTGCATATATATTTGTTGTTCTTTTTAGGATCTTGGCACTTAATCTTCATATGATTTTCCTAATACAGGATGTTGAGAAATTAAAATGAAAAACATGAACCTATCAGCAAAGTAGGACAACAATACAGAAAGTTAAGTAAACATTCAATGTAAACTTCAATTACTCTAGAGTGAAAGCTGCCAAAAGTCAGTGAGGTTTTATTTGAAATACCAACTGTTTAGTATACTGGCAATTATTAATCTGAAGAGGTTAAAAAGATTTTAAAAAAACATTTGTCAGGCAAGCTAGAGAAAAGATTAGTTCTTTGATACAGTTTAACCCCGACCAATTTTAAAATGCAAAAGAAACAGAATAATGGGGAGAAAAACATTTACCTGGCTTGTTAATTTTAACACCTCCAAAATAAAACTGCTCTCTTCCTGTAATCATCTAAGAGAACTTTTTTGCATTCCATGAACATAGATAATGCCAACATCCAGGAGAGTAACTTATTGTGCTTTCTCAGTTTAACATTTTCCACTGACATGAAGTGCAATGATTATATTGAATAAATTGCTAGGTCTGCTGCTAGTATTGTTTGTCTGTGCATTGAATATTACTGCTTTATCTGGTCTGGTACTTCTACTACATCTCTAGAGATTCTTGACAGAATCCAAAGAAGAATCTGCAACATTATCTGTCCTGACATCTCTTTTTGGTACCTCAGCTTCACAAATTTAAGCACAGAACTTGACAGGCAGCTAGGTCTTATCATTTTTATGGTTGAAATTGCTAGATGTAACCATAAGTTCTATTCTAAGATTTTTTTCTCTCACACTTCTCACTTGCAGAACTATCTTCCAGCATTCTTGCTTTCCTGTCAACTACAATCTTCAAAAATTTAAATGTAACATCAATCAGCACCTTCTGTAGCCTTGAATCTTGCTCTTTTATTGTCCTCTCTCCACAATGTTTTCTCAGTTCCTTTCACTCTCAGTAACACCTTACATCTTAATAATTTTATTGCCTTGCTTGTAGGTGAATTGATTAAGAAAAAAAAACTTACCTGTTGGCCAGATCGGTTTTTCCGGTTGCACTAAGATTAGTTACACCCAAATTAACTACTCTGAGACCGCCATGAGGGTCAGGATTTCGACCAGCAGTGACCATTGCACGACCAATCCTGTAAGCAAAAGCAAAATGCAATTATTTCTAACAATTTTCTTTTGAATATGACATCAATCATCTCTAGGAATTAAAAATTGTACAAGTATTAAATTATCCTGAAGAAGACTTTCACTACATCATCCTTACCGTCTTCCTATGTTTCTTTAATAAAATAAAGCCAACAAGATCAATAAGTAGAATAAAATTCAGGTTATTCCATGGCATACTATACTATAGGTCTGCTCATGGTGCAACTGAGAGCCAGAACAGGAGACCTATTAAAAAATGTTTGATTTTCAGATATTTTTGAAGAAAATTAATTATTTTTGAAAATACTTAGAATAACATTTGAACCCATCCCTGAGGATAATAGGATGTGTTGAAAGTTAAATAAATGAAAATATGTATTTTTGTTGTGGACACTGATAAGTATTAAACAAAAAAAAAAAAAAAAAAAAGAAGAAGGTAGTTAAGATTTCTGGTAAAAGATATGATCCACATAATGTTGAAACAGAAACAATCACACTATTTACAAGTCTCACCGAACCCTTTATTCAATCAACACCCAGGGACTGAATAAAGAGCTAGTTCAAATTTCCATTAAAGTTATTAGGTTCAACAAACACTACCTGAAGAAGGTTGGAGGGCATCATCTAAAAATATGTATAAGACAATCAATCATCTCAGATAGAGAGATAAAACAAAATCATCCTAGAATTTTCAAAGCCTTTAATGCTGGTTCTTTGTCTGATCTATGTAATATTTGCAAAAGTTTTTCAAAACTATATTTGCAAAAATATGAGCATGATTTCTCTCAATGTTGAAAAAAAACAAAAAAAAAAAAATCAGAAATAAGCATAAAAATACTTTATACTTTTTCCTTTATTGTAAGGAAAAGGTTAAAAGCAAAAAATTGGCAAGTGTGGTCAAAAGGAACCTTTAGTTTTTCATGGTCAATTGAATACTTTTCATAATAAAAATGGGTTTCATATTCACTGGGTTGATCATTATTTCTTTTAATATATCTAGTCATTTATATTTCATCTGAAAGAAATGGTTCTAAATTTTCCAGATTGTCAAACCTTCCTGAACCTTCCTCACAAAGTTTATAATTACAAGATGTACACTGGTGACCTAGCTTAATATCAAAATCATCAATATTTACATTTCGATTTAAAAGTAAAGATGTCTGCTTAATATGCAGCTTTTCAATACACTGTTAGACATTTATAAAATAGTTGTCACCTAATCCTTTACAAAGTTTACTAATTTTTTTTTCTAATGGATCAGTTGTAAATTGCCCAAGTAGCTAAAAGGTGTTGACACAGACTAACAATTCAATTGCAAGTATGATGTATGGTAGTAGCAGTGTGCTTGAATAATTGTTTTATATGATTACCTTGACTGCCAGCCATATTAAGAGTCATTTGAGCAAACTCAATGATAAAATCAAGTCAGCTGCCAATCAGGGATCTGATTTCAGCTTATAGAAGGTCATTGCATAGTTTATCATTTTGAAGTGTCTTAAAAGCATAAAATAGTGCTGGCAATCAACAATATGAATTTTCAAACCTTAACTTAAACTAGTTATTTTATAATCTGTGTCCAATTCAATCATTTTTTTTATTCCTAAAAGTGTCTTCCTCCAGCTAGGAGTTAAATAGCAAGACAGGTTGAACTTTCTTTTCTTGGATGGCATCCAGTCTAGAAGGAAAACTGAATTCAAATATCATCCATGTATCTGCTCGTAAGGAGTAAGCGTGTCCTCAGTGAAGCAAAGTTACTGTTTGCTGATAGAAAGAAACAACGTATAGCATCTTGCAAGTTCAGTTCTAGAGATTATTGGCAGCTCTGTAAGAGTGTGCTGAACAACAGCAAATCCTCAATCCCACCTATATTCAATCAATTTGAAGTCCTAACATCTACAGCAGATAAGGCTGAATGCATTGCTCTTAAATTCTCTTCCAACTCAACACTCATCTGGAGTGCCCACACCCTACTTCCCTATACTGAGCGATATGTACATAACCCCATCAATGATCTCACATCATTTCTAAATTAGACTCACTTAAGGAAAGTGGAAGTGACGGGATACCAGCTGTTGTCCTAAAGAAATGTGCTCCTGAGCTGGCTCCACTTCTCTCCAAACTATACAACTATTGCCTCACAACCTCCTGATTTTCAGCTTATTGGAAGTTCTCCTCTGTCGTCTGTCTTTAAGAACTCTGGAGAATCTTCTGACCCCTCTAACTATTGCCCTATCGGTCTCATACCGATTTTCAGCAAAGTCTTCAGGGCTTTAATCAATGCTGAAATGGTTAAAAATCTTACCTCTCATGATATACTCTCTGACAAACAATATTGATTCCATTTTGCCCAGTCTACCACTGATGTCTCACAGCTATAACTGAATATACATATCAAGTTCTCAATAATAATGGCAAAACTCAAGCTGTGGCTCTAGATATCTTGAAGGCGTTTGACAGGGTCTGGCATGCTGGTCTTCTATGTAAGCTTCAGGGCTATAGTATTACAGGACGTTTACTTGATTTAATCCAATCATTCATATATAATCAGGAAATGAAGGTAGTCATGAAGGGCTCTCTTCCAGTTCCTTTCATACTAACCAAGGTTCCATCCTGGCTCCTACACTGTTTATAATCTTCATCAATGATGTACCTGATGTCATCAGTTCCCAAGTAGGCATCTATGCAGATAACACTACCATTTACTCCTGTCTCAATAGTAAGCCCAGCACTGCTGACAAAGTGAACCTGGCAGCTGCTCTCAAAAAGGACTTCCAATCAGTGATTGTCTGGAGTAGGAAATGGCTTGTAAATTTTAATACTTCCAAAATTAAACTGCTCTCATTTAACCACCATAGAGAAATACCCCTGCTCCTCATCAGCATGGTTGATGTTCGTCTCCATGAGAGAATCTCATTGCGCCTTCTTGGCCTTACATTTTTAACTGACTTGAAGTGGAACAACTACATTGAATCAATAGCTGCATCTACTGCAAGGAGAGTTGGTTCACTGTGTCATGCCAGAAGGTATTTCTCATCAGTCCATCTTACAAATCTACCATTCGTCCTTGCATTGAATACTGTTGCCATACTTGGCCTGGTGCCCTGGCCATTCATCTCAAGGTTCTTGACAAGATCCAAAGAAGGATCTGTAATGTAATCAGTCCTGAATTGGCTTCTTGACTTCAGACACTTATTCACAGACATGACATGGCTTCCCTCTGTCTTTTCTACAAATATTTTCATGGCTACTGCTCTGATGAGTTTTTTCCCCTCCTGGTCCCAACTACATGAATTTGAGCATGCTACTAGATTAGCATCTAGGTTTCACCCATTTACTGATGAAATAGTTAAATGTAACCAATTCTACTCCAATAATGTTTTTCCTCACACTTCCTGAAATTGGAACTCCCTTCCTCTCACTGGCTTCCCTAATAACTACAATCTTTAAAAATGTAAATGCAACATCAATCGCCAACTTCAGTTGCCTTGATTCCTGTCCTCTTTTCCTTTCCTCAATCCCACTATACCCACTCTTTTCTCTCACTTTCACTCTCTGTAACCCCCCTGCATACTAGGTGCACTCATGTCTTGCTTGGGATGAAATGCTTAAAAAAAATTAAATAAAAATATTGTAGTGAGGTTGTTACAAGTAGTTGCAATCTACAAAAGATTGATAACTTGGATCATTGCATATTTTGTTTCAAGACGTATGCAAGAGAAACATTTCATTTAAAGAGAAACTGCAATCTACAAAATGAGTATATGAACCCTGTTAGTATGAGTTACTGAAAGGTCAAAAATAACAAAATACTTATTCTTTTTAGCTTGACCCAGACAGAAGCCTCTCCTAATTAATAAGTGTCAATTTATTACAATGAATTTCTATAAAATCTACATGACAACACAGAGGTTCTGAATACCAAAAGTAAGTCTGTACTCAATGGATGGCTTTGTAGCATCCAGCTGTTTTGAAATATTTACTTACCGAGCAGCCAATATCATCATATCCATAGTTAGCTGTAATTCAGAAATAATTTCTTGGGCCTGAGGACAATTTAATACAACACCAGCAATTTCTGTTTGGTGTTTACGCACATAACGGCATGTCTTCTACAAAGATATAAGAAAAACATTTTTAAAAGAAGAGAAATTAAAAATTCAAGAATATTAAGTATTAAAAATATGTGTTCTTCAAATTTCAGCAATAACTTTCAGACTACTATTCTTTGTAATTAGTTTCTTTAACTTATACAATCATCCCTTAATGCAATTCAGGTACAACCACTGTTGAAAAAAAAAAAAAATAAATAAATAAATAAATAAAAAAATAAATATATATATATATATATATATATATATATATATATATATATATATATGTGTGTGTGTGTTTTTCATATTTTGAATGGTGTAGATTTTGAATTTAAGTGTGAAATTCCTCTGATGCAGATGGTTATATGGTTGAATTTAACCTGGTAATTAGTGAAAATAATCTTTATATTTGTCATACTTTTAGTTTTACTTAGTCCCAAGATTTCTTTATAATCTAAATGAAAAGAATACTTCATTTTTAAACATTTTCCCCTGCACCATTCTTATTCATGACTCAATATACATCTATGCTGCACATGGCTACAAAGCAATATACGCAACATTAAAAAAAAAAAAAAAAAAGGTTCTGCTAAACATAGATGGCACCAGGTAATTAAGAACAATTTATAATATAAAAGAAAAACAAATATATTCAATAGAAAAAAAAAATCACTGTGTTCTAAGATTTGTACACATGTTCAACTTAGAAAAAGGTTATTCAATGACTATGTGCAGCAAAAGTGACTGCATGCCAAGGTCAAATGGATGTCATTCATGTCAGCCAAGTTGATGGCCTTCAACAAGTCTTTGGTATTGATAAGCAGTTGCTTGATCACCCTCATGATGATACACTAGACAGGGTAATCTGAGGGATTCAAACCAGACCGAAGAAGACACAGACTGGAGTCAGTCAGCCAGCCATTCCTGGGTCAGCTGGGACATATGGAAGAGAGTTGAGTCTTGCTCAAATCAGTACAGCTACAACTTCAATCTAGAGCTTGATCACGGTGTCAAGCACCTTGATTTAGGTGATCACTTGACATGACCCACATTGCTCACAACTACCAAGATTATAACAGACCATCAAAGCAACCTATTACTCTTGGGCTTCTGGTTACCTGGCCACTTTCAAGCTATTTTCTAAGTTACTATGATTGACAGTTAATGTCACAAATATAGTGTGCCTTTTCATTTCCTGGATTAGATTGGAAGTGGTCATGTTAATGCTCTTGATATGTTTGAAAGAGTATGTTAAAATTCTGCACATGCCACATAACATTACATTAGTTTATCTTCTATTACATATGCATTTTCAAATATCTGGTATATCCACTATGTATGGTGAATTCTACAACACAAAATGGTATGAATATGTAACAATCTTACCTACTTAAGTAGAAAAATATACAATGTAATTAAAACTAATTGGTAGAAAACCCAAACTAAACCTACAGTACAAATTAAAAAAATTTATCTACAGAGTTGCAAAGTTCATAATTTTAATGAGTGTACAGTTCAAATATTGGTCTGTTACAATGACTAAAATTTTCTGAACTTTAAAAATTTGATTCAGAATTCATTTGATAGTTTGTACATTATTTGTAAAATAGCAATTCATCTTTATAGCTTTGATAATACTTAGCCTTAATGATGATATAACAATCCACTTTCTGGAAAGATTAATCTTTTTCTCAATTTTTATTCATTAAATATTTGTGTTTATTGCTTACATTTGCAGTGAATGCAAACTGATCAAAAAAATGTTGCAAGAGAAACAGTTAATTTTCCCATGTATAAGAAGAAATTCATTATCAATTAAAAAAAGAATCCAGTAAAGAGTTCAATGTATTCTTACTTTGAATTAAAAGAAAATATATAAAATCAGTTTAAAATTTTTTCATGAAATTTTATTTCACAGAATTCAACCATTTACAAAGAGATCCTGGAAAGTTCTTGGCCTAACCAAAACACCAATCAAAAAATAAAAATCTGATGTTCAGTCATTTAATCAGATTTTCAGAAGTGTGTTGAAAATCCCCCATGTCCAGCTATTATATTTAGCTTAAAGATATTAGAAAACTACCTGCAGAACATCAGGAGTTAGTTCTTCAAGAGGTGCTCTGTCAGGATGGACTAAAAACTGAAACAATGTAGAGCCATGTTCACAGGGCAAGTTAGTCCGATCATCGCCTGCAATGGTAATTATTAAAAATTTGTAATAAAAAAGAAATTCCCAGAAAAAAAAATGTTCCAAATAAAAATATTTTTTAAAAATAGCTGAATAAAAGGAATTTTAAATACATAGCACTTTTTTATGAGTCAAATTAAAAAAGATTAATTACCGATTTTTTTTTTTTTTTAACTAGTATTTCATCTTTATTTCACTTTTCATTACAATGACCATCATTCCAGCCATTAGAAATTAACATATAAGAAATGGTTCATCTAATAATAAAAGTCAAGATATTACTAATATTATTAGTGTATGTACAAATATTAATATTAAAACAATTTGAAATTCCAAAGCAAAATTATACAAAGCCACTGTCTTTAGTCCATCTTTAATACATGCAAACAAGCAACTTCTCTAATGACAATTCTTAATTGTTAACACATTTCAAGATGAACAAAAAATATAATGGAAATTTTTATAGCAACAGGGATACTTTTGGTGCTCTCTTATTTTACTAAACTTAATCAATCTAATGAAAATAAATATATATTCATAAAATAGACATATAACACCTAATATACATAAAATTATGTAATTTTTATGTATGCCAAGGTTAGCAGAATTTTGTCAATAAGAGTGCTCAATAGATATCTAGAGCAATAACTATTATCAATAAATAAAAACTTCAAGATACTTAACTGACTGACTAAAAGTTTTGTGTGATATTAACACTCCTAAGAGTCAGATAAGACTGAATGAGGAGTAACAACATTGCAAACTTTTAGTTTATCATAGATAAGTCTTGAGAACTTTTTATTTATTCACAAAATTTATCTTGATAAAGCTCTGCGAGGGATAAAACAGATTGGTAAAGAAAAGTCTTACATTTGTTATGTGTGTGTGTGTGTGTGTGTGTATATATTTATATATATATATATATATATATATATATATATATATATATATTTATATATATATATATATATATATTTCTAATATCTGCACTTTGCACCTACTGTAAAATGTGAATACAGATAAAGGTTTGGCTTGAACTTATTTCATATACTGTTAACACAAAAAGTAAGGAAAAGATGTCAAAGTTTTATATGCACTAGTACAAGGAGCTTCAAATCAATAACAATAGTGATTCTGTCAGCTTACAATGACAAATGAATGAATTTGTTGCTTGGCAAAGTTTAACATACGTCCACCACCAAAAAAATTGGTATATCAAAACAGTTTTTCTCTTGACACAATTACTGTATCATCCCCCAGCAATTGTCTTAAAAATGTATTTTTTAGAATTTTAATAAAACCCAAACTTATGAAACTATATTTCTGCATTCGTTTTTCTTGAGAATTGACAAAAGAATTAAATTGTTTATTTACAAGAAGAATTTTTTATTTACAAGTTTATAAAAATATATTAACTACAATGCAATATTTATCACTTACTATAAAGAAATAACTATGAAAAGAATTTTTTTTAATTCATATATTTATAAAAATTTCTGAACAAGAAAATATAAATAAACAGTAATAAGTAACTAATTATAATTTTGAAAAAATGCATTTCGCTCTTGCTACATAAATTCACTAAAGTAGCTTGCATCAAGATTTATACTTTTTTTCTCAAGAAATCACAAAAATGTTAAACACTATTTAATTGAACTGTTTAATTAGTAGAATAGCACTTAATACTTTTGTTGTCAATTCTCAAGAAAAAGAGATTGCATAAATCCAGTTTCATGTGTTCGGGTTTTATTATAAAAGTAGCTTTTTGAAACAATAAAAATTGCTAAGGGTGTATACAGTAATAGCAATATCAAGAGAAAAAACTCCTTTTGACACATTTTTTTTTTTTCAGGGGGTCTACAAATTTTAAACTTTATCAGTTGTTTTATATAATAATTTTAAGCTTAGAGTAGTTCTCCTTATTAGGACTTCTTTTCACACAACAATGCAAAAATAATAAGTTTATTTGATAATTTTAATTCTGAATCTCCTATACTTTCTCAGTTTTGTAATCAAGATAAGCAAACATTTTAATCTACCCAGAATAGCAAGCAGAATATTGTGACATATCTGCTATTTATTATGTATTCAAATTATTTCATCAAAAATGCATCTTTTGTTAGACAAAAGAAAAATTCAGACCTGACTTATTCTGAGAACATCTTAGAACATATGTTTCAATTCTGCCAAGTTCAATGACAGCTTGTCCCATGACAGAGGTTTTATCAGAAAATATATGTTGGTTTAGCAATTCAGCAAGGTGAGTATGAAGAAAACCCTGAAAGAGAAAACAAAAAGGAAAAAATCTTACTATAGATTTTTCTTTTTAAGGTGAGTTTCATATATTTACATCAAAGAGTCTCATATATTCTCTATCATTAGACCAAACTGTTGTTGGCATTATGCCTGAATGATTTGCACTAGGCACAGACTACAATATTATATTTAAATCACAACTGATATTTTCCACTTTGAAAAGATCATAAAATTTCTTTTATTTTTAAATATATATATATATATATATATATATATATATATATATATATATATATAAAATATTTATAGATCTTAACTAAGAGGGAATATCACAGTGGTAGAGCAGAGGACCAGAATCTTCCAAATATACATTCCATTCTTAAAGAAAAAAAAAAACTTCAAGATTAAAAAACAAAGAAAAAATCCTCCCCACCAAGATCAATTGTTTAAATCTAAGTTTCAACAGCTTAACACAGATTAAGAAAACTCTGCTTTTAAAAGAGTTTCCTCAATTTGATGAATTTTTTTTTTTTTTTTACAAACTTTTTGAAAATATACTTTGCATATGGATGCTATTCCTGTTACTATTTATTGAAGGTATGGAAACAGATCATTATCCTTTTGTTTTACCAGCAAAAGGCAGTAAGTTTTATTGTAATACTGCAGTTGTGTTACTCTAAATGTAGCACTAGACACTGTATGTCTTTTCATGGTAACATCAGACACAAAAATCTTTGCTAACAGCACCAAATGTAGCACTATGACAGAGTTTTGTTCAGTTATCCTGATCACTGACCTGGTGACATACTAGAGAGGAAACTTTGCTATCCACATTGTGCTTAGACAAGATCTGACAAAGTCTCAAGCTTAGGGTTGAAGCATTTCCAAGATTTATCAAAATCTTGGGACAATGACTGGAAGAAAACAAATACTGTAATAAGATTTTACCAAAATATAGCTTATTTTAGTTGTTAATTATATAGGTATTTCAAACTAGCGACTTATTCCTTCATTCCAACTCCTGAGTGGCATTTGGAGCACTGAATTGCTTGTTTAAAATTATGATACTAGAACAAGAGAAATGTCTGCCTGCTTGAAGTAAGCTCTTTTCAAAAGAGCATACTTTGGTGATTTGTTTCTTCCTGACTGCTGCTACAATCAACTCACACATATCTTCTGCACAAAATTGCCAAAGTGCACCATAAATCCAGTCTACTGTCAATAATAATGTAATGGTACAATTTGACCATTATTTTATGCTCTTTAAAGGTCTTTGTTCTAGAAAGCATATGACCTGGCCAGCTTGTCACCTGATGACCTGAATCTCAAAAACTATTTTTACTATGAAAAATCTAGTGACTGCCTTTATGTAAATAAACCACAAACTTATGTCAACTAAGTGGTTTATATATGCTGTGGAGTGATTTCACAGTGGAGGCTTGTATTTGTACTAAGTCGGTCCTAAAATAGGTTCAACGTACAAAACGTTAGGAACTTCATATAATAGGTATAACGCAGAGTAATCTAGTTGTGGTCGCTGATACTTTAGTATTCTACTGACTGTCATCCGACATTGACTGACCGACCCACTGAGCGACTGACTCGTTACTCTTACTACTCCTACTTATAGGTGGGAGAGTCTATTAACTATAGAATAGGTGCGTTCCACTATAACATCCCCACCTAAAACTTTACTCTGCAGGAGTAAACAGTTTTCTTATTTTTTACAGGAAATATAAAGAAAAAACAAAAAAGAAAACTTCATTTTTTTTTTTTTTTAGCAACATCGTAGCATATCTCCTATGTTTTTGATCCACTTTTAATTGATCAGTTGCCTTTCTTTATTTTCTCCTGGATCGGCGTACCTCAGGTAAAATTGTTGCAGGCGTTGTTAGATCAAACGTATTGAAAATCACCTCCATCAGCGTTTCTTCCATGGGACTGCTGTCAACCACGTCTGAAAAACGTTGTCTGATTTGGTTACTGCACATGAATTTTTCGCCTTTCACCAAGTACATCATATCGCCAATCCGCTTTTCTATTTTTTGGTACCTCCAAAGTGTTACCAGAAAACCTTCCGCTTTGAGCTTCTTAAGGATGGAGTCACAGTTTCTGTAGGTTCTTCTTGTGGTTCTATTTGTTCAGCCTCTAGCTTTACTTCTGTTGATCTTGTGCTTCTTAACGTTTTCTGGTGACTTCAGTTGACTTAAATCATTTAATAATACTGCATGTCCTTGGCTGCGGGTAACTCGCTTCCCAGTTTTTCATGGTGTTGGCTTCATCTTTACTTTCTGGAGCTTTTTTTCACGTATATCGTCAGTGTTACCCATTCAACTTTTTTTAAATACACCGGTTTTCTCTAATCTGTCCAATTCTTTATCTATCTGTTCAATTGAAGCAAACAGCACATTCCTTTTCTTTTTGAAAAAAACAGTAGGAAATGTTCCCTTAAGTTTCTTTATTAATTTTTGGGCTTCTGAGTTTAAACTTTCAACCTTGTAACAGAAAGAATTTATTGGTAGATCCCATAATTGAAATTCTGTTATCCAATTTGTACCAAGTAAGTTTGTGGCATTTTCTATGACAAACAGTTTAGCTTTTCACGTTTTTTTATTTAACGTGACGTTTGTAACAAATTCTCCAATAAATTGTATTTTTTCTCCCGTCACTGACCTCGCGATTTTATTTGTCTTTATTAAAGTTGGTTTCCCCAACTTGTTCCAAGTATGCAAATTTATGATAGATAGGTCGGAACCAGTGTCAAGTTGCATTTTTATTTTTTTTATTACTTATTTCGACGGTAACAAATTTTCTGGTTATTCCATCGTTCACCTCGTTGGACTTTAATTTTCTTATTTTATTGTCTTTATTTTTTGACCTGCAGTGCGAGCTTTTATGACCCACTCTTTTACAGCTGAAACATTTTTTTATTTCTAAAATTGCAATATCTGTACCAGTGAAGTTCACCGCAAACAAAACATAGCTTCGGGAGCTTTTGTTTATTTTTCTCTGGTATTTCACTTTTTGCTTGATAATCCGCAATTTTAGAATTCTTTTTGGTAGACTGACTTTCTTTTTTGTAGCGTATTTTCCTTACATGCGAAATGCCAGACTGTTCTATCTTTTTCGAATCTTTCTTTACGCTAACATATCTTGTGCAGTCTTCTGCCAACTTCTGTATCGTAATCCTTGGTTCGTTTTCCAATTTTGCCAGTACTAATTTTCTCAACTCTGCATCTCTTTGATACCAGCACTTGAACAAACACTAAGCACTTAAAATTGTCAGCGCTTAACTGCCAGCTTGAATTCTTCACAATGCTTGTTCACATTGGCTGCATACGTTATATAGTCTTGTTCGTCATCTTTCATCAGATTCAAACATTTCCACCTCTTGTGAAACAAAGATGTCTTTTTACTAAATAATTCACTTAATATATTTACCGCCTCGGTAAATGTCAACTCGCTAGTTTTTTTTCGGTAAAATGTAGTTTACCAATTTGTTATGCTCAGCAGTTCCTAACTTTAAAAAAGCCTAACCTTCTTTCCATCAGACCACGGGTGGCAGTCCTCATTATACACGTCCGTATATTTTTTATAATAATCTTCAAAAGTTATCTCTTCATCAGGACTGTACGTGAATAATTCAATTGAATTCCATATTGTATTCTCTGGAAAAGAATCATTTTGTAGATTTTTCTCCTTCCTCTTCTCAGTTATTTCCAGAATTTTGTTTTGAAACTTCCTATGCATCTGTTCCATTTCTTCTTGAAACTGCAGCTCGTGACCTATTCGTGACCTATTTGAGCAAACTGTATTATCGAGAAAAAAAATTCTTTTCTCAGTTGAGAATACGACTGATTTTTTCGTTACTAAGTTGATGTCTTGTCTTTTGAAAAACTTTGTCAGTTTTTTTTTTTTTTTTTTTTTAGTGTGAATCCGAGATTTTGTCGCCGAAATTATTGTGACAAGCAAGTTTTTTTCTTTTTCCTCTGTATGAGTACGAATTTCGTCACCAAATAATGTTGTGGCAAGCAAACTTTTTTTTTTTCTTCCACCGTATGAATCCGAATCTTTGTTGCCAAATTATGCTGTGGCATAACGAGTCAGTCGCTCAGTATGCTGTGGCGAACAAATTTTTTTTTTTCTCTTCCACCATGTGAATCCAAATTCGAGGCCAAATTATACTGTGGCAAACAAATTTTTTTTTTCTTTCTCTTCCACCGTACGAATCCGAATCCCTCATCGCCAAATAATTGTTGTGGAGTGATTTCACAGTGGAGGCTTGTATTTGTACTGTCGGTCCTAAAATAGGTTCGACATACAAAACGTTAGGAACTTCATATAATAGGTATAATGCAGAGTAATCTAGTTGTGGTCGCTGATACTTTAGTATTCTACTGATTGTCGTCCGACATTGACTGACTAACAGACTGACTCGTTACTCTTACTACTCCTACTTATTATAGGCTGGAGAGTCTATTAACTATAGAATAGGTGCGTTCCACTATAACAATATAAAAGCATATCAATCAAATCTCAAGGGACTATAGAGATTCTTTTTATTTCAGCCAAGTGATTTATCACTTGTCATTATTACTGCTTGTCTTGGCAAGTGTAACAAGTTGGTAAAAAGCCATACCCAGTTATACAAAATAACTCAATCATCTCCATGTTAATATTCAAGTTAAATTTCTTAATTCCTCACCTCATTAAACACAAGTTAAACCTTCTCATTTCCTCCCCACTCCAGTTTTGTACTATAACAACCAGACCTTTCCACATTTAACTGTTCATCAACAATTATCAGCTCATCTCCAAATGAATGGGTCATCTTCTTGCATAATTACTTTCCAAAAAGTGATTAAAACTTCAACTAAAAAAATACTTACCCAATGCACATCTCCATTCCAAGCTAAACCAGCAGCAATTAATAAACCTGGCCAACTGAATGGGAGGTGAGTAAGATAACCACGGCCTGTCCAATTACACACAAGCAGACCAAGACCAGATTGACTCGAGGCACATTTTACAGAATTATAAATGTTATACACAGCAGCTTCAGGACAACCAGCAAGACTATTCCAGGCAGCAGTACCTGGGCAGACAATAAAACCATGCCTGAAAGGAAAAACAGTGATATACAATGAGGATATTCTTTAACAGTTGTTGCAATATTGCCAATACCAGTTCTCTAGCCTTCAATATCCATGGGTACTTTATGAATTATTTATTGGTAATGCTCAGTCTAACAATACTTACTTATTGTGGATGAGATTAGACTGTAAATTAAAAATGGGGTGTTATGAAAGTAAAAGTATACCTTCCATAGTTTTTCAAGCAAAATTGATTAATATATTAAAAAGGTAATTACAGTGTTTGTTTTTTTACCTTTAAATTTATTATTATTATAACTGTTCTTAAGAAAGATGGTATAATGCCTTCCTGTTGCTTTCTCTCTGGTTTTCAATTTGGAGTTTTCTTTCTCCAAGTTTTTCCAACCAAAGCTAAAGAACCCAGTCTGACCTATGGGTTTAAAAAAAAAAAAAAAAAAAAAAAAAAAAAAGGAAACATAAGCCCAAGGGAAGAAGAGATGGATTCATGCTTTTCCCAAGAGCATTAGTGCAAAGTCTCAACCAGAATTTGAACTCTGCTCTCCAATTCCATTTTCTGTCCTGTTCACCATCAGTTCACATGATTACTTTTATGATAAAAATAGTTATAATGGATCATTATGAAAGCAAAACTACAAATTGTCTTGCAAGAGTTCTCAAAGTACACAGTCATCTATCAACTTAGAATAAGTATTCATAGTTTATAACCAAATACACTCATAATTTATTTCATTAGAATTACAAATAGTAATAATTTATTACATTAAAACCAAATAAATTGACTCAGAATAAGCAGTCAGTTTAATTCTAATTAATATCAGATGAGTAAACATTACTTACCCACTGTCAGCTAAAGATTTACAATGAGACATAAAGTCATAATTGGCCTGAAAAATAAAAATATAAATAAAATGAAAGTAAATGAAAATATATTAAACACACGGTACAATTTTAATACTATTTTTCTTTTACAAAACCTTTTGTGACAATACACACAACAAAATATAAATAACTACTATGCCATTGTAAAAATGAAAATAAAAAAATTTAAAAAGTTCAAAGAAAATAAATGTAGCTAAATAGGAAACATGTTTTGAAGGTATAATGAAAATGTTAACTAACAACTTGATTAGTGGAAAAATTGATAAATAGGTAATTAATGTTCATAAAAATTTATATATTTACCTGCATGCCATATTCAGCAAACATGAGATGTGGTGGCAACTGTTGTAAAAGTTGGGGTTTCAATTCATGGAGGGGATAACCACATATTAATAGCATTTTGTCTTTGATTGGAAGGAATTTAGCAGCATCACCAATGCTTATGCTTTCATTGTCAGGACAGTCTAAGATGAAACTACTTAGGCGAGGTCCAATGTTGATGAAACTAGAATACAGTACAATAAATTTGAAAAATTAATGAAGAATAATTCTAATTCAACATTTACACTTAATATTTTGATTATACAAATTACTACTTGCTAGACAGAACCTGATTATAGAACAATCCACTTACAAAACTGAATATTTAAGTCATCAAATGAAAACTGTACAAACATTTTCTCTAATAGACAAATTTGTATGCTTTCAGTGTGCAATCAGCATAACAGTTTATTGAACTTACAAATCACTAAAAAAAATAAAAATAATGACAAAATTTCAAAGGAAAAACCAATACATTTATCTTTAATTTTCAGAATTTTTTTCAAGATCTAAAAATTATTATTGTTCTAGCATCTTAACACAAGCAGAATACCCTCACTCCCTGCAACAAGCTTGCATTCCTGCCAATAGGCCTACACATTATGTTAAAATAGGGGATCTGCAAAATAGTCAATAAGAAGGGGAAAGAATTTGTAAAAATTCTCACTCAGAATTTGTGAAGTGTGAAATATAATCATTAAAAACCCCTTGAAGTAAGGCAGTCTCTTCAAACTGAACTTTGGGACCAACATCAAGAACAGGAATGAGTTGCATGCCTCGAGCCATGCAGAATTTATCAATTTCAAGCAGTTCACTGCAAAAAAATAAAAAATAAAAATAAATAAGTAAAACAAAAATTTAAATAACTTACTAAAAAACAAACAGAAATAATGTTTTCTTAACTAAAAATTCAACATAAAATGAAAGCTTAACTTTTATTAGCCAGTAAAATGTGAAAGTCTACAACAGTGTGAGAAAATATTTTTTATTATTTTAATAACATTTATATGGAAAAGAAATATCAAAGTTAGACTAATTAGGTAAGTTTTAAATTTTTATCAGCTTTTCTTAATCTTTAAGAGAAAAAATTTAATGAAAAGTAAATATTAATATCTACATAAGATTAAATAAACATTTATACTTATATATATTCACATGCATTAATAGATATACTGGAATAATAAAGCCAATAAAAATGTATCAATGTTAGCCAAATTGATAAAAGGATTTATTTTCTTTTTGCTGTTAAGATAAAATTCACCAAGGGTAATTTTCACTTTAACCAAATAATGTCTATGGCAGAAGGTGGAGCTTAATAAATTACAAAATGTATTTTTTGTAATTAAAACAATAACCAAAAAAGTCTAAATTTATGCAAATTAAACTGGTTAATTACAAAAATGTTAATATATTGAAGAAAAAATAATACAGAAACAGTAAAAAAGATTAAATCTTCATAAAACATTTAAACCAAATTTTATAAAGGACAATAATAAATAAATTGATATTAACTTTTCAAAGCTGAACTGAATTTATGTGGTCTTTAAGGAGAAAAAAAATTATTAGCTCATCCTAAAAATCAATTGACTAAACTGTTCTAATTTATGAAAAAAAAAAAAAAAAAAAAAAAAACTATTATACTTCTACATTTCAACAGTTGATAATATCAAAAAGTTTATTAATCACATAAATAAAAAGACAGCACTTACCTACAGGTATAACAAAGTTGCCATACAGAATCTAATGGATGACGAAACCTTGTATACAAATGGACCTAGATCAAAATTAGAAAATAAGGGAACATCTTTAAATATACTATTAATAATGGATTTTTTTTTGCCACTAGTAGATTCTTCAGCTAACTCTAAAGAATGTAAATTTCTCATTAAGTGATATAAGGAAATATGAAATTAAGACTATCAAAGTGCAATCAAAGTATCAAACTAAGGACAGACAGAATAGCAGTTTTTTAGTCAGATTAGATTTGTCAGTTTGACTTGTGTTGATTTGCATGTTCTACATCTGTAAAATGAACAGTGAAGTCATCAAATTGAAATGAAGCCACATTTTTGGAATGGTTAATAGAGGATCTAAATCACTCAATAGCATGTAAAACCATCATACACAGTTCTGAAAGTATTTCTAAAGACCAATATCCCAGATTCTTTTATTTTCTTTATGAAAATATGAAATATCAAGTACAGAGAAAGTTGTTTTTTTATAATCACAATGTTATCTGCTTGTAAAATCAGTCAGACCCAAATACTTTATATGTTCTAATAAGTCAAATAAATAAAAACAATCAATTTCATTAATTTTCTTTATATTAATGAATACAATTCTTATATACTTTACTTAATATTATCAACCAGTTATTGTTAATATTAATTGATCTAAAAGATCTTGTCCCAAAGTGATCATAATAAGAATCTTCCTTTTGAAGTAGAACAATATACTAAAGTTCAATTACTGGTAAATCTTTTTTTTCATATTTTTCACATTTAACAACTTTCAACACATGAAAGTACAGTCAGTATTTCTAGTAACTTTATCAGTTTTGGAATCTTAAACTTTATTTTTTTTTGTTTTTTCATGTCAGTACTCAAGTTTATTTTTCAAAAGAAATTAGACAATACACAAAAAAAATGGGAAGTAAATTTGAGTTCAACTCCATAAGCTGTTAAGTATCCTTTACCGCTTTACATTTTAAACATTCCTAATAATCAAAACATACTTACTTGGTTCATTTTCAGCAAAGACAGATTGTCAAGCATGTACTTTAAAGTTTTCTGAAAATAAAAAGTAAACAAATATAGATAAACACATTTTGTTTTACACCAAACTGATCTTTTTGTATTACCCTCAAAAGAAAAGTATACAAATAACAGAAAATCTGTAGCATGAGATAGAATCTTTTTAAATTTTATATATTGTAAGAAAATAATAGAAATCAGAAGCACCATTGTAGAAAAATTATATCTAATGAGTTTTATGAAAGGATTTTAAAAAAGCCAACCAAAAACAACTGTTTACAAGTTTGTTTGCTTGCACAAAGATTTTTCAATTTGTAAGTAACATTTCTATTACCATAAAATTAACAGACAAGAAACAAAGAATAATTCAGTAAATTTAAATTTTTCATATTTAATAAACTTTATAATTTCAAATTTTAAGAAAAATATGAATCCCAGAATCAGGTTCCATTACTTAAATATTGAAAAACAATTTAATTTTTTAATAACTAAGTAAAGGAACAAGGTACTAAAGTTCAATCACTGGTAAATCTTTTTTTCACATTTAGCAATCAACGACTTTCAACAAATGAAAGTACAATCTAGTAAGTATTTCTAGTAAATTCATCACTTGATATTTTAAACTTTGAGGTTTTTTTTTTTCCATGTCAGTACTTAAGTTTATTTCTCAAAAGAACTTAATACAAATAAAAAAACATAAATGCAAGATTTTTCTATAAATACTTTTGTGATAATTGTTCTGATGAAATTTCCTCTTTGGTACCTAGGCTTTATGAATTTAAGCAGTGCTAAATTGGCAGCAAGGTTCCATCACTTTACAATTGAAATGGTTAGTGTAGCTGTAAGTTCTATGCTAACAGTTTCTTCTCTCACACTTCTCAGTTGTGGAACTCTTCCAGTTTCTTGATTTCGAGTCAACTTTGATCTTAAAAAATTGAAATGGAATGTCAATCATTATTTTCAGTCTTCTTAATTTTATTCTCTCTCCTTAACAGTGTTTTTTTTTTTCTCATATTCTCTTACAATCAGTAACCCCGTGTCTTAGTGACTTTATTGTCTCGATTGGAGTGAAATGATTAAAAAAATAATAATAATTCTTAAATATTGATAGAAAAAGTATTTTCTTTTTTTAAATACAAGAAATAATTCACTTAAGTTTTTTTTTTCAAAACAAAAGGAATTTGGGTATTTTTTTTAACACACACATACAACAATGTGGTCCATAAAGTGTGAATTTTCTCAAAGCTAGAAAGCAAAATTAAAATATAAGTTTTAACAAGATTCAAACACTGACGGAATGTTGTACATGACCTGGCCAATTTTGTTAAGATTTAATTAAGTTTAACCAATAACACATCCTGTGAGCAAATTTATTAGATTTTAAATATAGATGAGATTTTATGATTGAAGAGACAAACCAAAATCTAAAGAGTTATTTCCCTTGGTAACAAGGGAACCCACTTTTTCCATAACAAAAAAAAAAAAAAATGCCACTAAAAACTTTTCAAAATACATAGGTGGACATATAGATATGCATAGACTTATTTCTTTTTTATATCATAAGATTTAAAAACAATCATGTACAAAAAATAGGTGCAGTTGTTTAATGAATATGATTGTAGGTTCTTAATTTGAGGGTTAATAAAATGACTTACTAAATTAGGCACTCGTCCTTGAGAAACGTCAAGAAGGACACCTCGGTAAGGCAATGATGGGGAATCGTTTATCTGTAACATATTGAAAGAATTTTAATGCACAAGCTAAAATATTTTCGTGTTAAGTGCCACTTTATAGTGGTATGCTAATAGAATCACAAAGAATTACAAACTTTAAGTGTGCTTATTTGAGTATATTTATTCAATTTGATTGTTTTACAATAATATATTTATTCAAACATTTGTTTTACAATAATATAATAAAGGAATGAAGACAAAGTTCTACATCATTTAAATAAATTAGCCTTAATTGATAAGTATGCATAAAATACATGGAATCACATGGTTTATGTATTACAGTTTATTATGCGAGTTAGATGTCGACACGGTGGAATAATGAATAGCAGCTCGGATTGAGGAATCGGAGAGCCAAGTGTGAATTCCAGTCAAATCCATTACATTCACTTACATACTAATACACTTAGGAAAGGTATGAATCCACTTCCTCCAGCTATGGGTAAATAGCAGGACAGACCAGGTTCTCTAGCCTTGGATGGCAAATGGTCTACTGCAGAAAGAAATGGCAACCTACTACAGGAAAAAAGATACATGATTGCCTAAGCATGTATCATGCATGGCACGTAACTGACTGATGTGAGTTGAGACCAACATTCATCATGTAATGACTACAGTATAAAAATTGGTAAATTTCCAAACACTTAACATTAATGCTTTATAATAAAAGCCATTCACTAATGCCATATTATAACACTTTTCTGCCAGTCAGACTTTGGTCAAATACTGCTGTTGGCCATTGGGTTGGTCACTCTGGTCCAAACCATTGCTCTGCCCACATTGTGTTGCTTGATCACAGTCTGCAAAGATCAAATTGTCGTTAGCAATTGTGATGTTGGTCTGTCCCCGGCAAAGCTATGTCACAAATTTAATAAAAAAAAAAAAAAAATTCCTTGCAGTTAAAGAAAAGGCAAGAGTTCTTCAGAGTCTAGTTCTATGAAAATTCATATATTGCTATTATACAATAAATTGGTTCTGGGTACAAAACATTAACCCTTCCCATTTTGTGTTTTGTTGTGACACTATGCTCAACTTGAATCAGTCACCAACCCCGCCAGGGTCATTGTAATTCAAGCACCCTGGGTCCTGGGTTTTTACACGAGGAAACTATTTCCTTGATTTGGTTACAGAGATCACCAAATTTTATCTTTGCCAAAGTGTGTTTTTAAAACCAGTGCTTTTTTAAAGCTGCCTCATTGATCAGGTGTCAGCTAAATATCCCCATATAGTTTTTGTGGTAATATTTTTTAACAGAATCACTTTTCTTCAAAGTATCTCTGCCCTAAAAAAAAAAAAAAAAAAAAAAAAAAACAAACATACTTTGGAAATAAAACGAAATCCCTTTTCCTTCTCTCAGGCTGTCCATTGTTCTATTCTTTAACCCTTCTCATCTTGTTCTGAGCTATGTTTTTAATTTAACCACTTTCTTTCCATGTGCCAGTATCACAATATAACAATTATGTAAATATTTGCTTTTCAGTAATTTAATTATCAATGATAAATTGCATGTTCATTTCTGATTATTACAGAATTTCTAAAAATTCCTCGTCAATTTTAATTTTAATTGATCAAACATATTCAAACCAGACTCACCTCTAACACAGGCACGCTAATTATATTATCATCTTTGTAAAGCTGCAATAATTGAATCAGTGTACTGATTGCATAGCCAAGACTTTGGCGATCATGTGACACCATTCGAACCTGAAAATAAAACCAAAAATAAAAAGCAAGTAAATTAAAAATTTACTGACAGCTTCAGATCTGTCCCTAGATGATTTGCTATTACAGATAATAGGTTAGCCTTTATTAACAAAAGAGATTTGATTTTACCTAAAAGCATGGAGAGACATTAAAAAAGTAACATTATTTGATAAGTCACACAACGTTTATTTAAGAAAATGTTGGATATTCGCACATAGGTAAAGTAATTTATTTTTATTCCCAAATAACAGATGTCATAAAAAAAATTGTGTGTAATAAATCCAAACTAACATTTGAATAATTAGGCTACTGGTTAACAAATCCCAAATAAAACCAAAATTGGACAAAAAAAAAAAAAAAAATTAAATTCACAAGATTTGAGAACAGAAATATATGTGCATAGAGAGAGAGACAAGTAGCAAAAAAGAGAGTTACATTAACCTTTGTTCACTTATATGCTGCAAAGGTATTAACACTTTCACACAACAAACTTTTTAAAAATGAGTTGTCTTTCAAGTGAAGCAGAAGTAATATTTGAATCATCTAAAACTTTTAATAAACATCAATTTTATAATGCATGAATGGAGCAAAAATAGGTGTGCATGCTTAAACCAATGCTGCTCATAAGGAAAAAATTCAACAGGTGATTGTACCTAATTTATAAAGTTAGTGTTTACAATCAAACTCAATCTGCAAATTACAGGCTGATGCATATCATGTATGAGGGATGGTCTGAGAGTAATGCCTCCTACTTTATGATGTTGGCCCATCATGCCATAAGCAGACATAGGTGGACAAAAGTAAAAGCCAATAACTCATTTTTCTTTTGCTTTGTCAGTAATAGCAGCTGGCAAGATGATACGACTGTGTAGAAAGCAGAGGTGGAACATTGAATTTTCCCATATAGAAAAAAATTGCACCTATTAACATTCATCAATACTTGTTGAATGTCTGTGGAGACCAAACATAGGATGTGAGCACAAGGAATTGGTAATGCAGTTTAAGAGTGGTAAGAACAATGTGCATAAAAAAAGTTGGTTTCTTATGCTGCTGCAATTTTTCTTTTATATACAAATGTAGCATTCATGCTCTGCGTTCATCACAGACAAAAATGCATAGCCAATGGTGGTGACTATGTAGTGGAAGTGTTTTCAATCTGAAAACTTGCTTTATGGTCTTATTGTACTCTATAATTATGTAGCTTCCATAGAAATAAATAGGAGGCATTACTTTCAGAGGATCCCCCAGATAAACTACTTTTGTTAATCCAAATTAATTATAAATACAAATTTATCACTTGCTAATATTTGATTTTGATTTAAGCAATAAGATCATAAATAAAAATGAAATCAGAAATTTTAAAGCTAACTGTACAGATGAAACAAAAGTAAGTCCACCAAACTTTATAGTCTCTGAATCAAGAGTGTGTAAATCTTAAAACAACAACAATTTAAAGCTGCACATTGTTCATAAAAGGAAATTTCATGGACATAACTTTCCTTCTTTAAAACCTTTACCACACTGCAGTTGAAAAAAGTCGCCGTAGAATTCTCTCCCTTTGCTACTCTAGGCGCTTTGAGGCAGTTGCTATAAATGAATATTTGCCAACTGTTATTTCCGGTATTTTAAGCTGGAAATCGCCTACTAGTGTTTTGGAACAAGAGTAAACTTCCGTTTTCCTACCGCATTTTGAATTCTTCTAGATTCTACACGAGGTGTAACACCAAAACCCATGTTAATTTTTCCTCGATTTTTTGTAAACAAAAATGGCCACGTCAGTATCTAACAAAGCCTTTCTTTATTCAGGAGTTTTTCTTTGATTAGGACTTCTATGATGATTTTTAAGGCTTTACTCGAATGGATATTGATGGTGTAGTGGCCGAAGATGATAACCACGCTTGTGACGTGGAGGAAAGCAATGATGACCACTAGCAGCTACTATCATCCATGTCTGACTAATTTTATGGAAGCTACTGGCGACCATCGATATATCTGATAGCCTTTCTGAAAGTGAATTATTTTATCTATTTATAAACGACGAAATAACTTTATTCGTCAACGAGACAAATATGAGTCAGGTGAAAGAAAGCAAACAAATGCAAGCGTCTTGTATGTAAACACGAGGAAACACGTCACTTTTTTGACGAAATGAAAGCCGCCTTAGCGATTTTGCTTCTTATTGTACACCCCAGAACTCAACAAGGAGTAATAAAAATTAAAATACATTAAATTATTTACGTATTTTTTAATATATTCGTTTTTTATTTGGCATTTCAATTTTTTTGTTTTCAACATCAAAAAATGCATGCAAAACGTAATGCATTACACCAAAATATTACTCATTCATTCTTTTATTAGTATACAAAAATTAAAATCTATACACTACACACAATACAAAGAGTCATAATTTTAAAACGGTATATGTTCATGTTTTTTCACCCCCAAAAAAATGCAGTGGCAGAGGAACAATTCTAGAAAGAAATTAGCATGGTAAAGGTTTTAAAGTGAATAACTTGGAATATTATTTGATTCCTCTATGTTCTTTTGATCAAGATTTATTGACGTCAATCTGGACTAGTCAGTGTATTACAGAATTCTAATATTACCATTTCATTTTTTTAAGAGCTTGGATGTTATATATAAAGTAACTTTTAAAGTAAGACTTATGGTATATTGCTGTCAGCATTATTACTTTAGGCATGGTGATAATGTATCAATTATTACCTTAATATTTTAAGCACAGCAAGAGATGACTATGGTGACTAATTGTCAAATTATAAATCTGGTTGGTTTGAATTTGAGCAAGTCGTCTTAAACTTACAATGACTGCTCAGTTCGTTGTATTACTATGGAAAGTATATTAACGTGACTGTAAATTTATAAATTCCAACAACCATATCAGAATCTACTAATAGAAGACTGCAATCCTGCTTTCCCTACTAAGGCTAATGTACTGATGATGAGGAGGACTATGCTGATAACATAGGTATTCATAGTTGGGATAAGAATGATCTTGACTAGAAAATCAACATCCTTTACCAAGTGTTCCAAGAAATAGGACTCAAGGTAAACCTTTTCAAAACAGAAACTGATCTATAATTGGAATGAAAGCAGTGATGGCACCTGATTTCATGCATAGTGTCAAACCCATTCAGAAATATCTAAACTGCTATCTACAACCGCTTTCTCAGATCAACAGTTAAAAATCACTTTGAACATATGAAGCCTGTAGGTCTTAGCAAAGAACATCCTTCTTTGAACTTTGTGAACTTGCACTACAGATTACAAAGAACTGTACCACATAACAGAAACCACATTGCTTGAGGACTTTCAACAGCAGCAACAAATAAAACATATCACATATAACTCAAATAATGACATAAGCAAGATTTTAAAATTTTACCCTATTTCAAACAAAAGGTTAGGAAGGAAACCCTTATCAATGCTGGAAAGAAAGATATCAGAAAACTATTTTCCAGAAAAAATGTTTTTTATATTTTATGAATTTCAACTGTCAGTCATTAAATGCCAAATGTTTTCTTATAAAAAATATTACCATTATACGAGTTTAGTATCAAACGTGTACATGTACACACACACATGAAATAGCTCCTCAGACTTTTCAGCCAGATGCAATTCTATAGAATTTAATTGTGTGAAATATTTATATCATTGAACATTGTATATTTTATACATTATCTACAGTAAGGAGAGGTGAGCAGAAATATTTCATTTAACACTCATTTGTTCTATCAATTCAAATTCACTTTCTCAAAATACATTATTTTCATACAAAAATTATCTTTCTGTATACAGAAAAATATGCCACAATTTTTTTTATCGAAAAAAAATAAAAATCTCCAAGATTTGATAAAAAGGTAGTCAGAGATAAGTTGGCAAGACAATGATCATTGAAATCTTATTAAAATGAAGAGTTTTTTTGTATATTGGTTTAAACTTTCAAACTCCCCTGTTTTTTAACTTTAAATTAAAAAATTAATATACCCATTATTTTCAATTCACATATTGAACATTCTATTTAAAAAAAAAAAAAAAAAAAAATAGTATTTTGCAACTTTTTCGGGGACAAGGGGATTGAATGATAAAACAAATTCATAAATAGAAACACTAATTCTAATTCTTGTAGTGTGAAAACAAAAAAAAATCTCTTTGCTACAGTATTTTCTCTAGAAACAAGATTTTAGGTATCATATAAGAAATTCAAAGATGATAATCTCAAAAATTCAACTCTTAGTATCTCACCTGATTACTTCGGATAATAATTTTATAGCTCCCCTTTTCCACACACAGTCGATTATTCACATGACACACAATGCATTGAGTGTTGCACTCTGAGGCAGGAGACAGTAGATCAACTACAGGAATCAGCCCAATTGACTCAAATTTGGATTTATGTGAATCCCATACTTCCACTAATGAATGAATATCTGGAACAAAAACAGAGAAAGCAATCAATTAGCTTGAAAGCAATTTGACCATAGCCAACAATTGCATGAAGGTGTAAATTTAAGCAATTAGCAGACACCATGCAAATATTCCATGCCTCTGCACATTTTTGTACTCATGATGCATTTATTTTTATTGATTTCTCAAAAAATTTAAGTTTTGCATAATTTTTTTTAATATTTTGTAATTTTAATTTTCTTTTCCTGTACATTTCTAGAAAGCAGACAGAATGGAAGCAACACTGACAATTTTATGACTTCAAATTAATTCTTATGTTGTAAAAAGTAAGAAAAAAACAGTTGATTTTCCTTGGCAGGTTTACTTTTAGTGATACAAACCTCTTAAATGAGAACCTTAACTAAATATTTTATTTGACATTTGATTTAATAAGAGTATTTGCATAACAAATAATTTTAAATGTGCAATTTTAGACAGAAAAATAAGACACTAACAAAGAGATGTGTTAAATAGTAAGGTAGACTGTGCTCACAATCTTAGGTGGCAACCAGTCTTGGAGAAGGACTACTTTCAATTCAAAACTGTGAAAAACGCAACAGAAAACCAACCATTCTCCCATTTTTCAAAGATCATGGTAATTCAGAGAAAGTAAAATGGCATCTGTGGAGAGTCATGACATTTTAAAAACAATAAAGATGGTAAAACTATAAAAATAAATTTGCACTTACTTATATCAGCAATACTGGACAGATATATTCGGATGGAGCCACTAGGAGTGAAAGGCTTTCCTTCTTTCTGGATTATGGATTGTGGTTGAGGCCATAATAAAGATAGTTGTTCTTCTGTTACAACAGGTTTAGGGGAAATTGGAAGATGATCCCACAATAGTGTTTTCTGTAATTAAAATCAGGAACCATACTGAATAATTAAAAAAGTTTCTTCAGTTTAATAAAAAATAATATTTTGGAAAAAACATATCACATATTAGCAATATGAATTAAAAACATTTGATAAATTGTATACTAAGTTTAAGTCTTTATGAAGATCATTTGATTGTACATTATGATTAATTGTAAACAAAACTTCTTTTTTAATAGCAGAAAAAAAAAAAAAAAAGAAAAAGAAAAAATGATGAATGTTAAGGTAAAACAGTAACCCCAAACAAGATTTATCTATAACTTACATAAAGTCAAAATGTTTTTGTGATCTGCTAAAGAAAGGACAAAGAGAGATGGAAATAACTTTCAATATCACCTTAAAAAATAAATGAAAATACAACTTACAATTTATTTGTAATTTAACTGATTAAATTTTTTCTACATTGCTTGCTAACAAAGTAAACTAGAAGAGATGTAAGCTGCTTATTGAAATCATTCTATTTATAAATATTTTCAAGTAATAATTTCTCCTAATAACTTGTGTATAAGCAGGTTATAATTGACAGTATCAATTTATTTTGTCACTCATGCTTTCCTTTTTTTAGGGTATTTATAAAATTGACCCAATAAATTTCAAAAGTTGGTTTGGCTAAAGTTATTGTAATCAAGAAACCTACTATAAAATATATCAACTGCTAGATATTAAATTCCTAATCTTTAATCATACACCTGATTTTTTTTTTAAATACCTAAAATTATTATCAACCCTAGCCAAGTACACTTGATGAAAGCTGACAAGTGCCTCTCTTTGTAGAAGGATGATTGAAATATTCACCATTCCCAAAAATAGAAAATATAACAATGGGATAAAAAGAATAAAATGGTGAAACAAGATAACAAAGTGGCAAATGATCATATGATGTCTCACCTTAGGTGTGGGCATATGCAGCCCTTTGGAGGGAGATGCAGAGCCATTCATTTTGCTCTCTTCACTCAGTCCAGACTTGGAGGAGATATCAGTGATGTTGGTGTCATTATTACGAGTTACGGACTCAGACATTAACAATTCTTCTGAAAGTAATCAAAACATCCTAAGAAATATTCCATTTTCACACCAAAAAATATTGCCAATGCATGGAAAAAGCAATAACCATTATTTTGGAAGATATTTATACTACTTGGATATTGATTTTACAAGTACTGTAATACGCTGACAGCAATAAGAATAAATTAGTAACAATGGTCTCTCAAGAAGGTACATTAGATCTGCTTCAAAGACAGGCATTTAAATAAATCTCTGTCCATGTATTTAAACACCAACATTAGGTAGTCAAGGTAAACTCACAATCACTTAACCAAGTCATATACAATATGACATTTTTTTTATTATATTGTGTTGGAGGTGTCATTTAACTTAGTCTGTACTGCAGTCTCCAATCAAAACCAAAATAGCAACAACCACAAGGTCACCATCAGTGTCTTTATAGTCATTTATTTCAAATAACTAGCAATTTCCCTTTTTTTTTTTTCAAAATGGGCCTACACAACCAGGCAACAATGCTATAACAATGCAGTAGTGAAAAACGTTAATATTATAGAGAATATATTTGGAGTTTGTCTATCCTTTTCATAACCACTTGGCTTAACTGATTAATTTAGAAAAGAGATTTTCAATCTGCCAACAAATGTGAGTTGCCACTTTCTACTTAAGAATTTCCAGTTTCAACATCATTTTACTTATATACAAGCATAACAAAAATATAATCATTAAATTTAATTAATTCACCAAGTACATTTTATTCTTTTTAATTTGAAATTATTGAACACTTCTCTTTAGGCCAACATCAGAACATATTTGAAGAGTTATGATCAAACTTTTTATTATCTAAAACTGACATTTAATTAATACATTGATTCAAAATTTACATTAATTTAGATATGAAAAAAAATCTACAAAAGTAATAACTAATTTATTTTCTTTAAAACAGAATAACGTAAAATGTTTAAATGCAACATTTCACAAAAGTGGGTGTTTCTGATTTCCATTTAAAAAATAAATACCCCCCCCATTTAAAACAAAAAGCTTTTATATGGTATTCCAAGTAAAAACAAAAACAGCTATTATTCTGTAAATCAGATCATGTTATAGTTGATCTGTTGTGAAAAAGGTTTTCTTAAACAATGCTTTAACATTGACTGTTTAAACTGAATAGACTTGATCAAAACAAAGCAGTAATAATTTGGGACAGTGTTTTCAATCATCTACCAAAAATTACTCACCTAAAGCATCTTGTGATAATTTCCGTTCACCATGAGATATAGGTGGATTTTCCAACAAATGAATTAACTGATTATTTCCTTGAGCCAGATCAACTGCAGATTTACCACAGTTTTCTCTGAAATATAAAAAAAGCAAGGAAAAAGTAGCTATTAATCATTCAGGAAAGTAAATTCTAAAATAGAAAAAAATGAAGTAAATAAAAATTTTTCATTATCACATGGATACTTAATTTGTACAGATGATAAATGTCCTTCTGGTAAATGGTAACACATTTTACCTGACCCAGTCTTCAAAGTGGAATATGTTTCACCAAAAGTACAAGTTTGATATACAATCTGATGGACTCACATGCTTATAGCAAGCAAATATTGAACTGTAGACCTTATCATGAGGAGTCTAAGTACCACATATATTTCACAGATAAAAAACATGTGCCTTTATTTTTTTTTGCAGGAGGAATAACAAACCTTATTTAGAAACTAACAATTCATTCACTAGACATTAAATTAACTACTGATCAAACCTGTAAAATTCACCAACAGCTTTAATTATTTACTCAATTTATTAATTGTTATCTTAACATGCTGGTTTATTATTTATATCAAACTGGTGAATATGGTTACTATCAATCTTAACGGTCAAAGCAGGCACACACACACAACCCAATTAGAGAAGTGTGAACTTTGATCTCTTTATATTCAATGTCCTTTTATAATCAAGCTAAACTAAACTTATGTGATATCTGTCCTCCTGTATGGCAGCAAGTGCTGGATGATCTCAAAGACAAAGTGGAGACTTGAAGCAACAGAAATGTGGTTCTGAGGATACTGTGGACCAAACATGTGAGTAACAATGAAGTTTTGGAGAAAATGTTAACAAAAAGGAAACTAATACTTAAGATTAGGAAGACACAATTAAGGTTTCTAGGACATATAATGAAGAAAGAGGGCTTGGAAAATCTGATACTCACAGAACAGAGGAAGACAACACATAACATACTTAATGAGCTCAATTAAATGGATAGCAGACCACAGGGATAGGGAGAAATAACAAAAAGACAAAGTTTATTAGAAGCTACAAGACACTGGAAGTTGTGGAAAGCCATGATCACCTATATCCTGAAGGGACATGGCACAAAAAGAAGAAATTAACAAGAAAAAAATATTACTGTCAGGAATATTGATAACAAGAATATTTGACAATATTTAAGACCTGTGTAAATCATTTATTATTATTAGTTCATATTTTATTATTAGGTTGGAGAATTAAAAATGGATAAAACAAGCAATTTTCACTACATTAATTATTACTACTTTTAATTTAAGAAAAGCAGAACTGCAACTGAAGTAAAAAGATTTTTGTAATTTATGGAGAAGGTACAGTGAATTATCAAACATGTCAAAAATGGTATGTGAAGTTTCAAGCTGGAAATTTTTTCCTGAATGTCCTGTGGTTCATCTGAATAGAGGTTGATAATCAAATCAGGACATTACTTAAGAATAGTGAATGTTATATAATAAAAGAGAAAATAATCATACCCAAAATATCCACATTAAAAATCATTTACACAAACTTTGTTATATTCACTATGATACAAGACAAAATATACTAGTAAAGCGTTTTTCCATATGGAATTCTATTAATGGAACAAAAATGTTCTGATTTTTAAACATTGTAACGAGGACTGAAAAGTGTTTTTCTTAATCAATTCACCCCAAGCAAGGTGATAGTTCCACTAAGACACAAGAGGCAGCAGTGAAAAATAATGTAAAGACTTCAGAAGGAACCAGAAGCCCAATCCTAAATAAGGGTAAACCTCTACTCCTGTTCAAAAGACCAAGGAGAATAAGTAAAACTCCTGATTATACAAAATGTTGGGTTTTTTCAAACAATATAATATTTTTTTATACAAGATTAGACGTGAGTATTTTTCAATAAATTCCTTCTAAAGAAGCAAGTAACTGATTCAAACAAGTACTTCTCTTAATTAGAACAAATGAAAGCAGCAATGAATATTCATGTCACTGTTAACAAGATGTAAACTATTCCATTTATTTTATCTTAAATATCTTAATCTAACCTGCAACAGAAAAGAAAAATAAACAAAGTAATTATAGTGATATATCATATATTTGGTTTGACAGTAAACTTAAATAATCAATAAAAATTTGTTAAATATGGTAATTAGAATTAAACATTTTTATTTAATTTTTAAACTATATAATGAGATCTGTGCATGCAATAAAAGTTCACAAAATTTCACCTGAATTTTCACAATTTCAAGTCAGTCATAGATAACAAGTATGTAGGGTGTTGAAGGATAAACAACAATATCTTCCATTTGAGAGCATTTTATATAAAAACCAATATCATTTTGTTGGTTAGTTTTGTAAATATAAAACAAAATACAATTTTTTTTTTTTTTAATCCATTTCTATAAATCACTAATATTTACTTCCTTTTTCAAATAATGTTGATGTGCCGAACTCATTTACAACAAAAGCTAAATTTAACATTCTTGGAATTTTTATATTTTAACATGCAGCCAAATTAAGACTTTATTATTATAATCCAAAAGTTTATTATTGGGAAAAAAAAAAAAAAAAAAAAAAAAAACTAACTTTAGATTTGAGTTTTTTTTTTTTCTTTTTTTTTTTACATTCATTCAAAAGCAAAACTTACTTTCACCTATTAAAAAAAAAATCTCATAGAAATTCAAATATATCCTTGAATTTAACAATTATAAAAAGCTCTCACAATACATTCTAATCCTGAGTTATATACAATTATAGCAAATGTCTGCTTTGCACTTTTAAGATATAAAAACATTTAAATTAAAAATCTGAGAGAAAAAAAAAACAATTACAAAAATAAATTTGAATGATATTTTTTAAATAAGATAAACAATATCTGTCTATATTTCTGATTTGAGGTATTATGTACACTATTTACATTATTCGGACTATTGTCCTCATCTTTGTCGCTATATTTATTAGAATGTTTTCGCTGTTGTACGCTCTGGCCTTCTTCAAATGATTGGCATGTCGAACCGAACCCTTTATTACACTCACTGGGGTAGACTGTTCTAGTTCCACGTGCCATGTCTAATGGATGTCAGTTATCAGTTATCTCCTGTTAATTCCCCTCTCCAAGTTCTCCACTGCCTTAACTAGGTATTGAACTCACACTGCCCTCTTAAGGTAAGACTTCAAGAACACCAGAAAGCTGTAACATGAGGGTAATTGGAAAAATCAGGTTGAGATCATAGACAAAGAACACCATTCGAAAATTCGTAAACTTAAGGAATCAGCAAATATGCTCAGCCACAAAAATCTGAGCCAACCAAGCATAGAAATGAATACAATATGTAAACCAGTAATAAGGAGTGCCAGAGAAAAGTGATAATAACAACAAAAATTGCAATATGAGCTCTGGTAAAAACATGTAATGATAACAGCAAAAATTGCAATATGAGCACTGGTAAAAAAAAAAAAAAAAAAAAATGGTTGCTGAAGACATTAGTTTTATAATACCCAGAAATTCATGCACAGATGTCCTCAAGGACACATGGCACAGTGGATAAAGGCGTTGGTTAGATCCAGTGACAGTTAAGGCAGTGGAGAACTTGGAGAGGGGAATTAACAGGAGATAACTGACATCCATTAGACATGGCACATGGAACTAGAACAGTCTACCCCAGTGAGTGAAATAAAGGGTTCAGTTCGACATTCCAACCACCTGAAGAAGGCCAGAGCATACAACAGCCCGAATAATGTAAATAAGATAAACAATAATTTAAACATGAACATTCATAAAAGTTATAATAATTTACTTTATTTGTGCTCCTCCCAAAGACATTCCTATATATAATCTGCTCAATAATTAACTGTTACTTATTAACTCAAAGTAAACCACAGACTTCCAATATCTAAAATTATTTTTTCAATTTACCTTTTTTGTTTTATAAATCTTATGAAACTTTACAAATCTTGTTTAAGTAAAGAAAAAAAACATGACAAAAAAGATGGGGAAGCAGTTAACACCACTACTAAAAGCCAGGCCAGTAAACCAAATGAAAAATTACCATCACTGTAATTAACAAAACCCTCTTATAAACACAGATGAATGGAAAATAGGGTAAGAAAAAGAAAATTTCTTTTCCACATACCCTATCATAATTTTTAATGTTGGATCAGCTTTATGGATGAGCAATTCTTCAACTACTTCCTCATCCCCCCTTGTCACAGCCTCATGGAGTGGAGTGCAGCCTTCAGTATTGACAGCATTTACATCAGCTCCACGTACTGAAAATACATGTAGACACAATAAATTAATAAAGAGAGTCTATGCTTTAAGCAAAGTACTCTACACACTTAATCTTTTCCCTCTACATCATTTTATAAACAGATATTTGGTTTTTGCATATCAATAATTCTTCATTATTTTTAAATTTTAATTGAGCAAACAATTTTGTTTTCTAGTTTCACATGTTTTCTCTTCTGATTATATGTTTCTAATATAATGGATAAAAAAACATTTTGTTCATCTCTACATAAGCTAATGTCTTTCAAATTTATTTCATAAAAATTGTACATAAAAATCAGAAGAGACATTTTTTAAAAAAAAAAAAAAAAAAAAAAAAAAAAAAAAAAAAAAATTATTAAAAAATACTTGAACCGTTGATAAATTTATCTGGAACCATCAAAGTTCCAAAGGTTAGGCTTATTATATAGCATGTTAATGTTAACTTTTATATCAGTGACATCTTTCATTAGCTTCTATGAAGCATAAGCAGCTAATATACTGTAATTTTCTTTTTAGTCTGAAAGTAACTTCTAATTTTAGTACATGAGACACTGCCATAATATTAAATGCTATAAAATTAAATTATTCTGCTTAATTTATGATTTAAGATTGTTCTTAGTACTATTATCTAAATACCTGTCAAATTGTATATCATCTGCATATATCTTGAACAAAATCAGAATTATACAATGTTAGATTTTATGATGTTGTCGATAAAATTTTCAGGATATATTTATTTCAGCTGTGTATTATGCAAGTCTCAGTTTATAGTTATCCTTATAAAATATTATGATTAATATATACCTGAATAAATTATTTTATTATGTTATAAGATCCTTGACATTCTATAACCTTAATCAGTATTTAAACTATTGATTTTCAATTGTCACAACTTGCAGTAGTGGTTTTTATTGCTTACCATAAATCTCACTTGAATATTGTTTTCCATTCTCATCATCTCTTAATGATGGGCTACAAGTTTTCTATTGGATTAATATCTCCAGGGGTTGGAAGCTATTCCATAAATCTGAACTCAAACTTTTTTGGTAAAGTGAACAATTGTCAGCTTTACAGAATATGAAGAAGCACTATCTTACATGAATATACTCTTTAGTACTTCAAACATTATTATAGTGAATACTCATATTTGAAACAGATGCTCTATTTTCCTTTTTCTCTATTTTTGCTGAACTGTGATGTTTATGTAGCCAAATGGTAAAACATGCCAGGACAAACAGTGGTTTCTCCAACAAAGAGAGATACAGGTTCAATCCCTATTAGAGAGTACTTTTTCCTTATTAGGATTTCTCCAATGCACAGGTCGATATATGTTAATATAAACTGTTTAAAATGAAAATAAAAATGGGGCATCTGTTTCAAATATGATATATACCATAATAATGTTTAAGTAATAAAAAAAAAAAAACTTAACAGATTAAAAATAAATCCACTAATTCTTTAGAAGTTACTTAGGTACCTCCACGAAATTGCTAAAAAAAGAGCATAGCATGATGAAAAAGACGCCAAACTTGACGAAAACAAAATTTTATCGTCTAAATGTTTTTATTATTAAGAGGAAAAGAAAGTATTTTGGGGTATTTTTTTTTCCATTTTTAATCGTTCCTAGCACGTCCGAAATTTTCGTTAAAAATCTAATTTTTTTTTTGAGTCAGCAAAATTGACCATTTTTTCCATTTTAAAAAAAAACTGGAAATCTGACTTTGAAATTTTTTTAAATATCAATTATCATTTTTTACTCTATAATGTAAAGTGTCTTGGTTGTGACCTGTACACTCAAAATATATTTCAAAAAAAAAAAAAAAAAAAAAATTACAAAAATTTTCTTGATATCATGAACAACTTTGAAGAAACCTATAATTTTACTGCCTACAATACTAGCCATTACTACAATTGCTGCCAACAATACTACATTACTCCACTGCTGTCCTCTAAGTTGGTTGATTATTCCATGAAGGTACCAAACTCTAGCCAAGCCACCATATCCATTCAATGCAGTTCCATATTCATCACTCAAAATTAATTTTCAGGTTTTTTTTATCCAACTTATACATTTCTCTTTGTGATATTATTTCAAGGGGTTAGTGTGACAAAAGATATAAAAGCAATAAATGTTAATATTCTTCATATTTTCTGTTTACATTTGTAACATCAGCTTCTTCAAATATTTTATTGCTATTCAATTCACTTTTCTTGCTTATTACCCTTTTAATTTTTTTTTTTTAATACTCTTTTGTTTAATTCTTAAAGTCAGATTTTTTTCTTGTTCTTAACTTAATGCTTTAAATTTTGTTTTTAATTGTTATGATTTTAGTTTTTTTAGATTTTTACTCAACTTTTTCATAATTTAGTAAGTTGTCTTTCAACCACATATTTCCTTTATGATATCTTTTTATTGATCTGAAGTCAAAACATACCAATAACTATATATTTACAACTTGATGAACAACCATCAAGTTGTATATCTCACAATACTAAATAACTTAAATATTTCTAATAAAAAAAGATATTCCAAGTTGAAATTCACATGATTTATTTATCAAATCAATTCTGAAAATTTAACATCAGTTGGTTATTATCAATTTTATCATGAAGTCATTGATTTGCATATAGTGATCGGACAATTAATTTGAATCAAGAATTGGAAATATCGGAACTTTTGGGTGTATCAGAATCAGAGAAGTTTTAACCTAATTTCCAATTCCTAGATTTTTTTTTTTTTTGTTTAAAATTTAATTTTCCATTCCTGGTACTAATGATAAAAAGATATTTATTGATTTTAAACTATCAGTAAAACTAAAATCTATAGATCAAATAACATAAGCATGATGCAAATTTATTTTACTTGTGCAAAAAAAAAAAAAAATTAAATTTAGTCTCGGTTATTAAAAAAAGAGTTTTGTTTATGTAGCATACTACATAAACAAAAATCTTTTCAATACCCAAGACTTAAAAAAGCAAACATTCTTTTTATGAAACTTAAATTTTTTTCTACAAAATAGGTGTATTTCTTTAGGAAAAAAAAAAAAAAAAAAAAAGTCCCATGCAAAAAATACACATTTACAATTGTTCTTATCCTTTTGAAGATTTGAATCATTTTTAATCTTATTTTTATTCCAATGCTTTGCAAAAGTGGAATCTGATACCTTATAAAATGACTAAGTTGGATATCAGCATTATTTAGCTTTAAATTTCCTAATATATTTTTAAAATTTATTGTAAATTTTGCTAAAATTGTTTATATCTATTTAAAAAAAAAAAAAAAAAAGAAAAAAAAAGAAAAGTGGGATATGTTTTTACTGTGTTGTTGCACTTTTGCTCTTTTTTCTTTTAACCAAAATAAAACACTTTTTGATTCTTTTTAGAAATTAAATATTTTTACTTGTGAGAAATTTATTTTAGACAAGATTGAAGACCCTTTATTATTTATTTATAAAGTTGCTGTGATAATTTATATTTAATTCTTATTGAACGTCTGTAAGCAAATCTAAAATTTACATCTTATTCAGTGTCCTGCAGGATTAGATCCTCTTTGTACTTTATCAAAATATTATGCATGAGTTAAACCACAATACATAGGATGAAGCCTTTATGCTTAGCGCATTATTGTTACAATATTTTTTATATATATATATATATATATATATATATATATATATATATAAGGTTGTCTCTTATATTTGAAGTGCATGCTGAAATTGAATTGTCACCTCTAAATTTGTTCCAGCCATTGAAAAATGCAACATATAAAGTATCAAAGTTAGGATGCTTGTCTCCGTTAGTAGTTACATAATTAAAAGAAAAAACTTGTAATTCCAACGAATGATTTATTCTTTTATGGAAATATTTCAGCCAGCAGTTGCCAGTCTTGTACTGTTTTACTCAAATTAAGTAGATTGCATAATATTTATAGGGTGTCCTTGCTTGTTAAAACTTAAAATATATAAGTTGGACAAAAAATAGACCTTTTATTTTACAATTAATAGATAACCATTAGCTGAATCTTTACAAATTATACACATTAGAAAACAGGAAACAATTTTATCTAACAGTGAAAAATTTAAATTCTTAACCAATGTTTATTATTTTCTGACCCCAACTATGGCAAATGTGTGTCCAATGCCAAGCAGAAAAGTGTAATTTGGAAAGTTTTTAAGATTTCTGATGATAACTAAAGTAAAGCAATATGTCAACTGTGTGATATGCAAATATCTAGAGAAGATAAAGCTGCCTTCTTCACCCCAACAAACATGTTTAAACATTTAAATACAAAGCATAGCACAGAAATCCAAAAGGAAAAGAAAGAGAAAAGGAAAGAGATGAAAAGAATACTGACTGCTCAACTATAATTAAACGGAAAAGAATTGTCAGCAAGTCTTTTAAGTAACAAACTTTACTATGAAGTTATTGATCAAAGTAAAACTTGGGATAAAAATGACAGCACAGCCCCACACAAATTATAAATGTATTGGAGAAATGGCTGCAACTGACCCGCAACCTTTTTTCTGTTGTAGAAGACCTTGGTTTTAAAAGACTATTGAACCATATAAGACCGAATTATCAAATTCCCTCTTGAAAGTATATAAAAGAAAATACTGTGCATGATATAAGTAGGTTAGAAATAAGATACAGGAGGAAATCAACACTGCTACTCATTTATCTCTGACTAGTGACGGCTGGACCACTAGTTCAGCAAATTTAGCCTTTTTAAGTGTAACATCTCATTGGATCACTGCAAATTTTGAATAAAAACGCAGTTCTAAGAATTATTCCATTAGAAATAGCACACACTGCAATAAATATAAGTGAATGTATCACAGAGACAGTACAGCAATTTAATATTTCTCATAGAAAAAATTATGTTCTAAGAGATAATGCAGCTAATATGGCAGTCGCAGCAATTTTATAAGCCCAATATGAGTCATTGCCTTGTTTTCTACACACCTTGCAGTTGACCATTAATGCTGCCATCTTTGCACAAAGGTATGTGAAGGATAAGCTATTTGTAAACAAATAGTTGGGCACTTCAATAACTCACCTGCAGCTTTTATAAAGTACCAGGAATACCAGAAAAAAAACTTAATTTACCAGATCATAAATTTATTCAGGATGTCCAAACAAGAGTATTTGACAAAAAAATTCTCTTATCTCATATTGCAGTGATCATGCAAAACCACATTATTTAGAATCCAACCAATGGAAGATTTTAGAGAAATTACTAAAAATAAACAATTCATTGATTGTAGAAATTTTTTTTTTTTAAGTAATAGAGAAGCAACTGCCAGTAATAAAGAAGCAATCAACCCTTTCTGCATGGAAAGCTTCTTTTAATGCTAGATTTAGCAGCTATTAGGAAGACAAAAACTTATTCTAGCAACATATCTTTATCCCAGGTTCAAGACTGTTTTCCTTGAAAATAACTACAGCTTAATGACAAGGCTACTGCAGAATGGTTCACTCAAGATATCTATTCTATAAGTGAAAGAAAAACAGACACCTCACTCAAAGTATCACAAGGCATGGAGAATGATGTCTGAAGAGATAATGTGATGATGATAGTGACTTTAATTTCAGTTTTATGAAGTGCCTCACTGAATTAAAGCAAAAACTGATGAAGAAAAAGGGGAGCCAATGTGTACAAGAATACAGGATAAAGCAGTCCATGAAACAAGCAAAGGAATAAATTTATTAAAACTTGAAATGGCAAAATATATTGCATTAAAAAATGTAGGTGATGATAATGTTTTTAGTGGTGGAATTCAAATAATAATGAATTTCCCATCATGGCACTTTTAGCCATAAAATATCTATCAGCACCCCTTTTTTCTGTTGAAAATGAACGGTTATTTAGTATTGGAGGTAACATTTACTTACCAAAAAGAAATCAGCTAAAAAGGCAAAAGAGGAGAGATGATAATGTTCTTACATTATAATTTAAGAATTTTAGGACTTAAATATGAGTAGCTACATACTTAAGTGATTTACTTAAAGAAATTGTTCTCTTTATTGTTTAAACTTACCCAATTTTTTAAATAAAAAGGATATCTAACTTTATTTCATGAGATTTTGTATTCATTTTTCTACTAAATGTTTTATTAATAAATGTACTTGTTCATTAAGTTTCCCAAACCAACCGTGGGGCCTGAAAATAATGAATTTTAATCATTGTAGGAATCAGAATTGAAAATCACATCAGAATTGGGAATTGTATCAGAATCAGTAAAAATATTGGTATTGTCCCATCACTACCTGCATAATAAAATTTTATTTACTTATTTAAAGTTGTCATTTTAAGAAACTGTGAAATACATTAAAACTAGTGCAGGTGTTTATAACTATTTTGTACACAAAGTATAGTGAATTTCAGTTGATTTATCATAAAATGTTAAAATTGTATTAATTTTTGGAGAAAACTTAAAAATAGCAACAAACACCAATGCTGAAGTTCATATTTCATTCGGCAGTCAATGCTAATTACGTCTAGGCCTTTTTTTTTTTTTTTTTTTTTTTAAATAAGTGCACATTTATTTTAAACCATAACATATTCATCAGATGTTTTTATATCAGTTGCAAAATAATAAAGCTGTATATAGCACAAAAACAGTAAGCCAAATTACTAATGCCCATGAGAAAAGCAGAATTCAAATCTTCCCTACATTCTATTACCAGCTACTGTGGCTATATGATTATATCATTGATACAATGTAATGTTAATTAAAGAAATGAAAGGAAGGACAATGTTGCTCAAGCCAATCAAATCTCTTTCAATATAATGTAATGTAAATGCAAGGAAAATTTGTATAATTCTGTAAAGCAATACAGATTACAAAGCGTACATACACCACAGCATTTTAATTGATTTTGGAAACCTATAATCTGTTGTAATTATTCAACAGGTTACTTACTACAGCATTTTCACATGATAAAACTTAGTAATCAAGATTGAATGGTGTATAGTTAAAATAAAAAGTAGAACAAAATCAGTCATCTTGTCATTTTCATAATCTGACATGCTAATTTCTGTTGTTTTTCCACAGACATGAAATAATTATATTGACTAATAATAAAGGTTTAACAAGTATTACTATATTGAGACTGAAATTACCAAAAACTGAAGCACTATTAGGCTAGGGTAGTTATTTTATAGTTTTCCCAATAAATAAAGAAATGTCTAAAGTTTAAAACAGTATAAACTCTTAGTATACCACTGACAACTAGTAATGCCTACCAGTAATAGTCATATGAGAAGCCCTAGAAGATTTTTTTTAATGTTTATTAACTGTTTTGAAACACTAAATACTTACTTCTTGGATAATGAAAAATTTATTTTATTATTTATCATACAAAATATTTTCTACAAAAAAATGTTACATACAACATATTCATTTGATACAAAATAAAAATTGTACATGACTAAAACAAGGATGGTTTTGCACTAAAAATTATAACAAGAGCACAACATCTTTTAAATTACTTTACATTTATTTTAGAATAATGCTAAAATTTGAGTACATTCATAAATTTGCATTAAGTAATCATACAGTTGCATTTTAAAATTTCTAATTATTATATTTGTCAAATTCCCTTCACAGGCTAAAAATTTTAAAATTATATTTTTAAAAAAAGAAAAAGAAAAAAAAAAAAAAAATACTTTCATAATATAGTAATGATCTAACAACTTTCTGTTCATAATCATCATGCCATACTTTATTCAACCTCTTTGTTTAGATATACTGCAAGTTTTCAAAAGAATATATTTCTATGCACTAAAATAGAAAAAATATTTAAACTTTTGTTTCTTAAATAAAATCTCATGGCCCAAAACCAAAGACTTGAGCTATATCAAATGACAAAAGAAACTAATGGTAGAGATATTTTTAGGAAAAAAAGAGCATCAGCACTTTGATGAAGTAATTGCTTAAAACTCCAAGAATCCTCAACCTTTTTTTAACATGAGATTAAATGTGAATTATTCTAACAGACTAAAACCTCATCCCTTAATTTTAAAATAAATAATAAAAGTAATTCTCAAGAGAGAAAAAAAATGTAATATTTGCTAAAAAATTTTCTTAGGATGTCCAGAAAATAAAAATCAACCATATTTTCTGTTTGTTAATCAAATATTGACTGACTGCAAGCAATTTTTAAAGTTACTTTGATTCAATAAATGCTCTATAAGCATTATTTTCTTTTTTTAAATAAAAGAAAACAAAAATTTGTTTGTTTTTTTTTTTTTTTTATATTCATACTTATTTTGTGAAGTATATCCCAACAAAATTACTTTCTGTGGGGAGCCATATTGCTGTGAGATAGCATTTTAGAAACAAGTGTCAAGGTGTAAGTTGCAAATAAAATCATTTTATCATAATCATGACAAAAGATCAGACAATTTACTTACAGCAAAGGCATTGGATCATATCCCTAGATGCATAACAGGCTGCCCAGTGCAGTGGTGTATTCTGACTCTCACTACTGTCTTTCAAATTGACATCCAAACCAGATGCCAGCAGCTGACATACACGGCCCATGCTACAAGTACAGAAATCAGAAAATAAACAGTCCATCAAAAACCTATCAGTATGTGTTGACCTTCAGCGTTGAACAGCCCTTAAAATAATAAAAAAAAAAAAAAAAAAAAAAAAAAAAAAAAAAAAAAAAAAAAATCTATCCTACTTGGCTTTTGCTTTCCATAATAAAGGCTTAATGAATGTAGTCTGTCCAGTCTGAATGGAGCAGAGCATTTTTAGTAGACATTCTAGTTAAAAATAAAAAATAAATAGATTGCCTTCATCGATTTCATTAATATATAAATAATTTGTTTGCTTTAAAAGTCAGCCAAACTTTATGGTTAAGTAATTTGCCTGGACCAGAACAGTGGGATAGTTAATTTGTGCATAAATCATTTACAAATTTCTTGAGTAATTTTTTTAATACTTAATATTTATCAAAATTATTACAAGCAAAGTTTTTATTTTTAAATATTTCAATAAAGATATCTTAAAATAAATGTTAACCCATTAACTGTGACAAGAACAGTTCAGTTGCTGTATATTAAGTTGTAACTCATTTTTGTAGCAATTCGTGAAAGATTATTTTTTTTAATTATTAGAATATGATTTTAAATAATGCAAATAATAAAAATAAATATTGCTAAAGAAAATGGTTCAGAGGAAATTGAAAAAAAAAAAAAAAAATAAAGTATAAAATATTTATTTAGAAAATTCCATATTGTCTATCAACATTTTCGTGTGAAAACAACTTTCGAAATGATTTCGGCACTTTACTTTCAAGCCCTCTCTACTTGTGAAGTACTTGGTGTATTTGCTTGGTATTCAATAAATCATCAGTTGTGACCTCATTAGTAGATTCTTTTTCACAATCAGACAATAAACCTAAGTCCAGTTTATTAATTTCATAAAGATGTTCAAAAAATTTTTCAATAATAACCTGCTTCGTGATTTGGGAGGGGAGAAAAAATTTCAAATAACCTTTTTGGACTAAATTTCCAAACCTTGAATGGCTGGAAGATGAGTGCCTATTCAATTCTCTGACTCATAGAAATGCATTTCTATCAAGCACAATAAAATAGAAATTTGTCATTGTTATGAGTGGCTGATGGAAATTTCCATCATTTGCAACTGAGCCATTGAACTGCAATAACTGAAATCCAAATTATCTGCAATAAATGGGTTAACAAGGTTGTCAGCATTATTATTACTACTACTGCCATCACCAACACTAAAATAACTTCTTCCAACTATACTGTAGTTTGTTGAGTAAAAAGATTTTTAAGTTGAAAACAGCAATCAGGTACTGCATCTTTTTCAATTTATACACCAACAGCAGCCAATCTATATACTTGCAAAATCTACACAATTCAAAGGCATCCATTTCTTTTTGTTTAGGCCAATATCCAATACTAAGATGTATAGCCAGAGTAGGATTATTGTCACAACAATAATAAATTTAGATATAGAAAGCAATCTAGATGAAAAACTGCTCCCCACTTATCAACAATTCTCCTGTATTTGGTATAAATATCTGCTAAATTAACAAGATACTGAATATTAACAAAACTCACCAAACCAACTAAAGGTATTGCATTACAACTGATTACAGCTATAGCTATTAGCCTATTCTTTAACTATTCAGTGACAAGTATAGAATTAAGCAAATTTCACTACATAAGTAAATTAATTTTCAGATATACACACTGTTTTATGTAATTTTCCTGAAGATAATTTTTTCTTCATCACTGGAAAACAACTACTTAGAGCAAAATAATTGTTTACTGGTTGAATTTGAGACTGCAGATATTCAAGCCCCAATTTCTTAAAATCAACAAACCAGTCCATTAGTTGAGTGAAAATATCTGTTTATAGAATAATAGTTCACAAACAATTATATATTTACTTCTCAACATGTACATGTAAAAATATAGGTAAACAGAAATTATAAACTGGAGCATAATAAAAATTAAAGGCTGTTAAATCCAATTTGCAATACCCAAGAAAATCCCATTCTGATAACCAATATAGTTGAAGGTTCTTCAGTGAAACATGGCATTAAAAAAATAAATACTAACTTTCTATGAGTTTTACAATTATCAAGTGATTTAAATTTAGCTTTTATAACTACAGGGTCATAAACAGTAGATAAAGATGAGAAAATTCAATGTTTTTTTTTTTTTTTTTTTACAGATAGTATCTGCCTTAGATAAAATGAAAGTATTTCTGGCAAAATTTTAAACTCTCATGAATTTCTATTTTGATCATTATGGAATAATCTGGAAAACAGTAGTTGTAGTAATGCTAACAAGGAACTAACAATTCGAAGATTGTGTGTATTGATCAGTTTCTTTAATCTTCAATACTCTTTTAGTAATTTTGAATCATTAATTGATAAATATAGATTTCTATATTTATCAATTAATGATTCAAAATTACTAAAATAAATATTTTCTACTATACAAAGTGAACTAATTCATTATTAAAATTCCTTTTGTTCAAAACAGAAGTACTAGTCAAGAAAGATAAGTAAAAATAAAAGAATCATTTTTCACACTTTATCAGCATATTTTCAATGGACAATTAACTTGATTGTACAGAATATTCTATCTCCTGCCATCTTTCAGGCATCATAATTCTATTCCCACAGAATATCCAAGTAAAGAATTACTGAGTACCTCTTGCAGTTTTCAAAGGAACTGAAATGTTTTCATAAAAAGAAGTCCATAAAGACCTGAATAAATTATAATCTGAAGGTGTTATATTTGAATTCAGTAATGAAAACTTCTCAGCCAAGCTGTAACAATTTTTATCCAATTACCAAAAACATGCAGACTAGCATTATCTTGATAGAATAACATTCTTTTTCTCTTAACTAATTCCAGAAGCTCCTCATTGATTGCTGTTTTCATTTGGTCTAATTAAGAGAAGTATTTATTTGAATTAATTGTTTTCTTCTCTAGAAGGAACTCCTGATAAAAGACTTTCTTCTCATACCACTATATACAAAGTATTACATGCTTTGAAATGAAAACTGACCTTTGGTATGGTTATCAGTGCTTCATTTCATTTTCCCCCTGATCTCTTGCATTGTTCTAAAGTATCCACTCTTCATCATCTGTTATAATATGTTTCAAAAATGGGATATAAATTTAAATAGCAAAGTGCACATAAAAATACAGTACAATAAGTTTTTTTTTTTCATTTAAGTAGCAGTCAAATTAGTATAACCAAGTTGGTGCAAATGACTTTCATATCTTGAGTATGTTGGCTATCTCCAGTATTGTATAACATTAATTATTCTCAAGTATTGTCTTGATTGGATCACTATTAACTTCAAATGTTCCACCTAACTGTGGAACCTTGATCAATGAGAAATATCCAATAACGAACTTTGCAAAGCATGCAACAGGTTTGATATTTTATAGTACCTTCATCATAAAAATTGCTAGATTTTTTGCATTTTAGCTATACTTTTTTTTTTTTTATTTTTACTTAAAAAAAAAAAAAAAAAAAAAAAAAAAAAGCACAATGGCAAAAATGCTCTTTATCTTCTTCCATTTTCATATCAAAATCAAACAAAAAATAGTTTTGACAATTTAAAAAAAAAATGTATATTGATATAACTGTCATAATACAATCTAAAGTGATGTGTTTGAATTAAGGTAAAAAAAAAAAAAAAAAAATTCTAATGTTATCTAACAACAACTTTTCGGATAACCCAACAAACTATATTAGTATTGTTTTATAGCAATAATCTAAAATGAGATCACCAGTTCTTTTTTTATTGAGGTACATTCAAGTTGCTTAAATAAAGAGAAATGATTTATTCTTGAATTACAGGATATACTCCAATTGATACCATATTAAAAATATTCTTAGCATTCACAGAGATTAGTATTGTATCAAATGATCATATAATTTAAATGATTAACCTCAACTTTTTTAACTAGAAAAATTGAAAATAAGACCAAAAAGAGAAAGCAAGCAATATTATAAAGTTTAGAAGAAATTTAAAAAAATAAAACAGTTTCTGTAAGTCTGCAAAATTTAAAAATGTTTTTGCTAGAAAATTTAGTTCTTGTATTTTGAAAAATTCAGCCTGATATAGGGAGAGATGTTACATTGAAAAAATTGAAATATGATAGAACTCATATTACAAAATCTACTGTATTCAATGTATCTAAATTTGAAAAGGAATTACACCATTTAGATCTGAAGTATTTCAATTTAAATCAGTATAAAAACTCTTAGGCTATTTGCACTTAAAATGTGATTCTTAGATATAACAGGTTCAGTATGATAAGAAATGGTTAAAAACTGATAATCATAGTTCTACAGATTTTGATGTTACTTTAAACTTCTTCAGTAGTGGTTGTTAAAATGTATCACCTTTAGAAAAAAAGACAGTATGAATCAATGTTTGAATTAGGAGTAAACCAAATAAGTTTTCTTCAAAATAGCTGCTTTACAAAAGGAAAATATTTTGCAGTGATCCATCAGATGAAGAATATTGTACTGAAATTTGGAATACTAGGTTGACCAAGAAAAGTACACACAATTATGATACCTGGTTGGTTTAGTAGCTGCAGAGATGTTACTATATTTCCTGTACAAGTGATCAATTGTCTACAAAGAAGTGCTTTCTGATTGGATTTACCATTATATTTTAATCTCCTGACATTTATAATAAAATGCTTTTATTATATTTTTTCAGACATGCCTTCATATTAGTGATTCTTAAATACAATTTTTCAGCCACTTTACTCTCAAATATTTCTACAGTATAAAAAAAAAAAAAAATACCAACCTTTTCAGAATGCACACACTTGTTACAATATAGATAAAACTTTTTTTTAATAGCAAAAAAACATTTAGTGGCAGTTTCAGAAATTTTTCTATTGCACAACTTTTAAATATTTATATATGCATTAAGTGATGAAAAGCTATGTGCTACTAAGATTTATAATTAGTTTACTTAACTGACTGCTAACTGAATTTAATTTAGATGTTTTTGTTTTATTTTTAGCAAGCATAAAAATCCACTGTAGATTTGCTATGATAAATGACTACCAATTTATAAATTTTATTTTCTTAAAGATAAAAATTAAAATGACTTTTTGAGTATGGCTTAACAATTTTTACTTGTAGGTTGTTCTCTCACTGTCACTGCTGTTATAAAATAGGAATAGATAGGTTCACCTATCACTTGGCTCATAGTCCTTCCACATTTATTGAACAGTAGAGGTTTATCCCAGGTTTCCTGTTTAGGACATGTCATTCCAGTTCCTTTCTTCCATAGCCTTAATGTTCTTAGTTAAATTCTGAATAGTTTATATTGCCTTAGATGGGTGACAGTGATAATTATTTTGGCCTTTTTCTCCTTAAAAATTATGTAATGTCAATTATCATCTCCAGTCTCCTTGAATTCTGTTCTGTTATTGTCCTGTTTCTGTCACTCTTAATAAACCTCTTTGCATCTTAATGGTTTTATAACCTTACTTAGGGTGAAATGATTAGGAAAAAAGAAGTGCCCAGTCAGGACACGGGTGGTACTCATTAAATCAGACCAATTAGATTATTGACATGTAAAACAAGTATAAATATGACAATAACATTTTTAACTGAACATGTCAAAGTATTATATGATACAAGAATTTTGAAAAAAAAAAAAAAAAAAAAAAAAAAAAATAGAACTCACTTTGATTGAGCTGTAGCCTGTAGTAATTCTTCATTGAAGACAGTTCTCACTTTTTCTAATTTTGCCAGGTCCAATGGAATTCGTTGTTTGCTATTGTGTACTCCTGGATCTGCACCAGCAGACAGTAGTGTACGTACAATGTCTGCTTCACCCAACTATAAAACCAGAATAAAAATTTTGTAAAGTGAAATGTAAGTTTTTCAGATAGACAAGAAAATTAGTAAAACAATGCAAGAGCAAGATTGAAGGGATTTAAAAAAAAAAAAAAGATCTCTTTATGCATTGTTATTTATGAAGTAATTGATATTTAAAAAATTACAAATCCATAAACAATACAAAAAAAAATGTTTGCCAAAGCATTACATTTATACCAAACATGTTTTACTGATAAAAATTCAGGTGTTTGATTAGAAAACCTTGTTTAATCAGAAAATATTTTCATAACTTTTCTAAAGCACAGTTATTGAATGACTGAAAATGATGATTACATAAGTCTAAGTTTAACATGACTGAAAACTAGTTACTCAATAAAATAACTGTGTGAAGATGAGTGACAATCTATATCTATAAAACAGAAGATGTGTGTCTGTATATGCTATTTATGCACGTCCACATTTCTCGACCAATTTCAATGAAATTGTACAAACATGTTGCAAATTTACAAAAGTAGGTCAAGACCAACTTTTCAATTTCCAGGTACTATCCCTGAGTTTGGCAGAAAAAAAAAATCGATAAAACTTTTGGCAAAACCCAAGGCAAAGTTACAGTTACACACAAAAAAGATTTTTACTGAATGAGCTGATGTTCTTTGCACTTAATGCAAAGCATAGGTCATGTTACGAGGCTTATGAAGAGTGCTTGATAGTTTTCCTGCAACATTGGCTTCACACAAAAAATAAAAAAAAAAAAAATAAAAAAATAAAAAAAAATAAAAAACAGGTTTTTGGACTACTTAAAAGAAAATTTTTTTATCCAATTTTCTTCAAATATGTCAAAAAATTTGCCATCATGCAAGAAATAAGTAAGATAGTGTGGTTTTAGTCCTGCTCATTTCCCTGCATATAATGAAAAAAAAAAACACAAAAAAATGTTCAAAAACCTGTTTTTCAGCCATAACTCTCTGGTTTTTCATCCGATGCTTTCCAAATTTGCTGTGTAAATTATATATGACATAAATTTTCTTGTATGAATGTTTGGTTTAGATTATTTCAGTTAAGTGAACAAAATCTGTGACAAACTAGGTCCAAAATAAGCTTTTGCCATTAAGCCAATAGTTTTTTCATATGATTCCATCCTAAATTGGCATTTGAACAACCTTTGATGCAAAGATTGTTTGAGAAGGAACATAGCAGCTTTATAAGGGAAAAATTCTCAAAGAACTTCTTATTAACTTCATCTTTACAGTAAATGTACAAAGGAGGGAGGGTGTTCATGCATTTGCACTTGAATCAAGCTCTGACACTTCATCCCTGTTTTTGTTTGATCATTAGAGCTGTGAACAATGCCATACTATTTGAAAGTTATTACAGCCATAGGAAATTTACTGAATATCTAAAACATTGAAACAATTTAACCACAAACAACGACTACACAAGAAGGTTTTATTGATGGAATTCCTTTATTAAGAACAATCAAACACTTGCAAAAAGTATACTGTAAAAAAAGATGAAATGGAAAGAGGGAGAAGCTTAATATGCCAACAGACAATGCATGCAAGTGGGGGCACAGACAGACATTTCTAGACAGTGGGGTATGGTTACACAATTGCAGCCATGTACACTCAGGCAATGCCAGGTACCTCAGCTAGTCCTAAATAGAATAAAATCTCACTGGTATCCAGACTTCGAATTTCTCTCTATTTACGGGACACTGATTAGGACTAATTTAGTGCTTTTCTTCACAATGCCCCACGGAATTAAATTTTTAATCTTGTTTAAAATGGTGCCACTGAAGTCTTTCCTGGATGAAAGCCAGCATCAAAGTAAAACTGCAATCTTCTCTTTAGTTCACTCCTGCCTGTTCAACCCCTATAGCCCACAGGAATCACTTCTGGAATCACAGTTCCAGTCATAGCAGACATCTCTTTTTGTCCACTTGTAAGGAGTATAAGCACATGTCCTCAATGAGGCAAAAATCATCATTCACTGATAGGAGATATCATATAGCCTCTCACAAAGTTCCAGTGATTACTGGTGGCTTTGTAAAGTCTGTTGAACAAGAGTAAATCCTCAATCCCTCCTTTCATCAATCAGATTGAAATATTGTCATCTACTGCTGATAAAGCAGAATTCTTTACTTGGAAATTCTTTTCCAACTTCACTCTCAACTCTTCAGGAATATCTTTGCCTGATTTTCTCCCAGAGCGGAATCTCTACTGAGTGATATGTACATAACTCTGTCCATGGTTTCTGTTATCATCTCGAAACTAGATCACCACAAGACTTATGAATTTGACAGTCTCCCTGCGATTGTCTTAAGCAGGCATGTCAAACTCGGGGCATATGGAGGGCCACATCGGCCATATTTGCAGCCTTGAGGGTTGCACCTGCTTACAGTCTTATATTAATCACAGCTAGTGGTAACTAAATTTTAAATACAAAATACTTACAATACAAGGTAGTACAATTTAATCATCTTTATGTTGTTCTGATGATTGACATCACTTTAGACAAAATATTCTCGATATATCAGGTTGGAATATCTGTGTAGATCCCACTTTGGTCAAAGATGACAAATGTTCATCAGTTAATCTGATTCTGTGAGATGTTTTATGTGGCCTTCATAAATGAAAACAACTGCTCAGACATACGTAGAACCAAACATTGCCATAATCTTTGTGGCAAACTTTCTGAAGTTCTTAAATATCTGAGGAAGGTATTAAAATATCTGGGACCCCTACTTCTAGATACTTTTCTTTGAGTGTTGAGTCAGTCTACATTTCCAGTAGTTCCATCTGTAGACTTTCCTTTGCCTTAGCAACATCAAAAGTAAATGGTGCTGAGAACAATGCAAACTGATCTTCACAAGATGAAAATCACAAAATCTTTGAAATTCCTTTGACAGCAATTCCAGATAATTGTCGTACTTAGCAAAGATAAGTACAGACTCAGTAGTTGCAGTTTCTTTCAACTCCTTGCACATAGAAAAATGAATCAAGTTTTCATGTGACAACTGGTACTTCAATAAAGCTAATTTTGCTTTGAAACACTTGCTATCATCATATAACTGAGTGATGAGCTTATTTTTACCTTGTAATTTCAAATTAAGGTCACTTAATTGGGCAGTAATATCTACTGAAAAAGCAAAATCTTGGAGCCAGCTTTCATTTTTCAATTCATCTGTGCTTTGACAATTCATCCCCAAGAACAATTTCGTGTAGCAATAAAAAAAATCTTTTCAGTACCTTGTGACATGAAAGCCACCAAACTTCTGTGTAGAATGGGACATTTGTGAACTGATTATTCATGTCTTCTAATAACTGGCTAAACTGACGGTGATGCAGAGCACAACCTCTGATATAGTTCACTGTTTTTGTGACAAAACTCAACAAATGATCTAATTTTAAAACTTTTCAACTTTCTCAAAAATGTCCTGGTTTGTTGTAGTATCATGCATTGGGACCAGTTCAATTAGTTCTTCGTAAATTTGAAATTCATTGTCACAAGCCATAATGAAAACGGCGAGCTGCGCTATTCCAGCTATGTCAACAGTCATCCAGAGCAATAGAAAAATGTTCAAAACTTGATGATAAAGTCTTCAACTGTCAACTCAAATCACCTGCCTTTTCATCAATCCGTTCAGCAACAGTGTGTCTGTGCTTAATGAAATGTCTTGAAATAAGTGTGACTTCTCTGGACATACAATTTCAGCTCTTTTTACAAGACATCACTTTATGAAATCTCCTTCACTGTAAAATTTTCCACTGATGGTGATCATTTTGCAGAGTTCAAAACTTGCAGTAACAGAACTAATGTTGCCTTTCTGAATTTTTGTAAAGCAATTCTGTTGCTGTGTTAACTTAACCTTGAATTCTTTCACTTTTGAAATATGCATATCTCCTTCATATTTATCATAAGATCGATGGTTTGTTTCATAATGTCTTTTCACATTATATTCTTTTGATGTCGTAATGCAATGATTGCAAATCAAACAGTTTATCTTTTCATTAACAGTTGCACAAAAGTACTGTAATTCCCACTTTTCTTGAAACACACATCCTTCGACAGATAATTTTCTCTTTTTACGAGATGGAGTAGAATTCGACATTTTTAAGGCAAAATATTACAGAATTAAGAACATTTTCACTGACATTTGAAAAGAAAAAACCATTGAGATAGAATAAACAATCTAATCATAACAACTGAAAAAAAAAAAAAAAAAAAAAAAAATCACCGTTTTTAATAATTTGCATTACCAACATAGACAATATTCTCAACCTTTGTGAGGGCCGCCAAGATGCATGTAAAAGGTCGCATGCAACCTGTGGGCCACCAGTTTGACACATCTGGTCTTAAGGGAATGTGCTCCTAAACTGATTCTTCAAACTCCTTTCTTGGATTCCAGCTTGCTGGAAATCCTCCTCAGTAGACCGTGTCTTTAAAAACTCTGGTGAACCTTCCAGCCCTTTGAATTATCAACCTATTAGTCTTTTTTGGCAAAGTACTAGAAACTCTAATCAATGCTTTCACTCCCAGTAACCCCTTGCGTCTTAGTGGCATTATTGGCTTGCTTGGAGTGAAATGATTAAGTTTTTTTTGTTTTTGTTTTTTTTTAAATAAAAAATTAAAAAAAAAACTCAACAAACCAATATCTTAGATGATAATATAAATGTGAATTTTACAATTAACTAAAATCTCCAATTAACAATCAGCCATAATAGAGTTATTATAAGTTTAATGCGAAAAGGCAAAATTGGAATCACTTGGATTTTACATCCATTTTTTTTTTTTTGGTACCTTGGATACAGAGACTGCTTTGTTCCAAGTGATGGATTTAGAAATTTCAAAATTTCACTGTCTTAGTAGTGTAGTAACAGATGACAAAAAGTATGACACAGTAATCCAAAGAATCAAAGGAATAGTGAAAGATGTCTTCCAGAAACTAAGCAAGTATTATGAGATAAGAAAATTTCATCAGAAACAAATTAAAGAATGCTAAATTGCTATGTAATATCTAATCTACTATATTGAAGTGAATATTGGACAATCTCTTCACACATGAAAAAGAGACTTGAAGTGACAGAATACCTGACAGAATATGTAAGCAAAAAGAAAAAAATTAAGGAAAATAAGAACTACAAGGAAACTTATACTTGCAATAAGAAACAAACAATTGAAATTTCTGGGACACATAATAAAGAAAGAGGGCCTGGGGAATCTAACACTCACATGACAGAAAAGCAGGACAGAAACAGTAAGTAATCTATTTGATGAGTTTGTGTGAATGGCTGGTAGAAAAAGACAAAAACGGGTGGTAAAGAGTCAAAAGCTGCTTAGAGCAACAAAAAACAAAAAAATGTAGAAAGCCATGATTGCTCACATCCTAAAAGGGTGTGGTATAAAAAGAAAAGCTGGTGCAATAGGATTCATTCATGTCTGTTGTACAGAACTTGAAACCCCAGATTGAAAACAGAGCTGATTTATCAACATGCCAACAGTGTATCAAAGAATGGGATAGCAGATGTCTTACAAAATGCATTCGTTACATTCTTAACTTTTAAATGATAACCAAAATAAAGTAATATGTCAACTGCAGCTAGGTACTTAAGTGATTTACATAAAGAAATTATTCTCATTATTGTTAAATTCCCAATTTTTTAAATAAAGTGGATACCTAACTTTATTTCATAAGCTTTTGTATTCATTATTCTACTAAATGTTTTATTAATAAATGTACTTTGTTCATTAAGTTTCTCAAACCAACTGTAGGGCCTGGAAATAATGAATTTTAATCATTGTAGGTATCGGAAATTTAGAACAGTATTGGTAATTGTATCAGAATCATTAAAAATATTGGTATTGTCCCATCACTAATATAAATATGCACACAAATCAAAAACTAGGGTTAATTATACATATAGATTCAGAATCAGCTTATTTTCTTTAGCCTAGTATACTATCATTTATCTGACTAGTAAGTTTTTGTTTGTTTGGTTTTAGTCTTTTTGCTAAATATTATTTACCTAATCTATTCACACATTTATGAATCCTTTCAAAGTACATTGCACTTAAAATATGGTAAACTATTCTTGAATTATGTACATTTTGTAAAAATCTTAGTACTACTGCTATAATAATAGTAAATATCTGTATAACATAAAAGCTCAGAATAGTGAACATTGTATTTATTTTGATTATTTAAAGTGACAAGAATATTTAGTTTCATGTTTAAATGAAATGAACAAGCAAAAACTCCAAAAGAAAAAAATTATGACATCTATGAAAATACTAAAAAGGTTTATTAACTGCAAAATTAAAATCTTAAACACATTGTATATCAGCCATACTTAACCCACTTTTACTACAAGATTCACTAACAAAAATCAAAGGAAATTAGATATACAGTTTTATTCCATAGAGAATATAATTATAATAAACATCAAAAAATAATCTATTAAACTACAAAGATAAATATAACTCATAACTATAGGCAAACATTATTTAAAAGAATTCTTACAAATTAGTAGTAAGTATATAAACAGGTTGAAATTTCTTTATGAAGTTCCTGTTTCACATTTAACTTCTGACATAAGTGCATCATGCAATAAAGTAGACGTTTGTTTACATAAACATGTCTGACTAAAAAATAAAGAACAGTTAAAACAAAAAAAGCTCCATAAAAACTAAACATAGTACCAGATAACAAAAACATGTAGAAGAATAGTACAAGCCAAGAAAGAACTTGTATGGTGAATAGCATCAAGTCATCTGATTTTACAAACTTTTTTTCAATAGAAGAAATTGGCCTACATGGTAAACAAATCAGATTTCATCTTATGGCAGACTTTTAGAAAAACAAAAATAAATGAAATCTCAGATAAGCAGATTCATTCTTACATAGCTTGCATTTTTTATATTAAATGCTCTGAACTTGATTTCTTTTCTTAAGTTGAAAAAGTTTAAGGATATTACTTATTCTTTGAAGGTTGCACTAATATAGATAAATGAAATAAGCTAATGCTTTAAATGAACACCTGAAGATTGAGGATCAGTTCATTTGACTTTATATAATATTCTAGTTACCAGAAAAGATTCTTTTTGAAATCCCAGAAAAATGTGTTTGTGTGCTTAACATTGGAACTTTGAATCCAGCTGTTATCCAAAATTAAAACTATTCTTCCTAGTAACAAAATAATGCTTGTACATTCAAACACCTAAAAGTAATGAAAGTGAAAGAAGTTTATTAGAGTAAAGTACATTAAGTAGCACTAATGTTTGGCTACTTAAACCTGTATCACAGCAAATCTAAAATGCTATGCATCAGACAATTAGCACAATAAATGTTTTAAAAACTACTAACTCACCATTGTAGCAAGATGAAGAAGAGTACCCTCTTCAGAACAAGGCTCATTTAAAATCATTGGTAATTCATTTATTTCCCCATCTGAAAAATAAACCCATAAAACATTATGATTTTATTTATAAAGACATAATAAATAAGTCTTCATAAAAGAAATAATAATTTAAAATAGCTTCATCCATGTTTTTAACATGTAAACTATTAACTTTTTTTTTTAAATTATTTAAAGACCAATCTGATTAATGTTTTCTAATATCAATTATCTTTATTCAATTCTAATAAAAAATTAAATGAAAATTACATTTGTTCATATTATGCATCTTCAAGATTAGTCTACATAAAGTAAATAATTACTGATTAAAGTAATACATAAATAAAATTTTTACAAATTGACGATCTTGAACCTTTTGAAAAATCAATTAATCAAATATATTTTGTATTGTATGTTCATAAAAAAAGTATTTTAGATTTTTTTTTTTTTTTTTTTTTTTACAAGGAATCCAAAGAAAACAGTACTTTTACAAAAAATGTATAATTTCAGAAAAGTATATACATATGCTGATATGTAACAGTCTCTAAAAGCTCTAAAATGTCAGAATTTCTAGAAATAAATTTGGAAGAATTTCTATGGCCTTTATATTGAACTAAGAGGTTATATTTTTTATATCAACTATTACCAGTCACTAACCACCACACTATATTCATACAGTTTTTATATTAGAGTAACAAAATTAATGAAAAGAACAGATGCTACATTTAAGCCACAAATTCAAAAGATGTCACCACAATTACAAAAAAGAAACAAATAAATAGAATAACAAGTTTTTTTTTTGTTTTTTTAATTACTTTTTATTTCCATTCTTGTTTTATCTCTCTTGCTCATATATATATATTGAACAATAAAAAATATTAAAAAATTAAAATCTTCAGACACACTGGGTTGTATATTAATATTCTTTCGTTTTTATTATTATTTCATTTAGATTCAACTAGTTTCGGCCATCAGGAAAAAAAATGTTCTGCTTGCTAGTAGCAGTGAACTACAGAAATGAATGTTTTGATGGAGAAAATGAACTTTTGTAGTTTTCATTGTTTTTTTTTTTTATTTTTTTAGCATGAATTTTGGTCAGTCCTTGTGTTGGTCAAAGTCTCTTTTAAGTTGCTATTTGAGATAAGAGCTGGATGGATTCATGCTGCTCTGAATTCCCTTGGTCATTTTGACAGTTTTATTGATTCCTGGAAAGGGGAGTGTGTGTTATTTGATTCTTAGAGATCGAGTGAGTATAATGTGTGTAAGCATGTATATTACTATGGGTGTGTGTTATCATTTGGCTCATTAGGGAGTGAGTGAGTGAGTATGATGTGTGTATATTTGTGAGGGTGCGTGTATAAGTGTGAGGCCTCAACACCTCTGCAAGCATGTCTGTCTTGTGTTGGTGAGAAATGTGGGTAGATCCCGATTTGTGGGGTTATATATCAATACTATCTATATTGTTAAATTTGTGGTTAATATATATATATATATATATATATTTCGTACTTCTATTTGTATGTCTGTTTGGTTGTGTTTTATAGGCTACTCAGCATTTCAAACTTGGTGTCAAGTGCAAATTTTTATCATTTTTTACCAAAACTTGCCCAGAAAGTTTGAATTTTAGTTTCTATGGACAAAGGGAAGATATTGGGACACATGTTGACATATGAGCCACAACCTGCCCATGGGTAAAGTGTGATTTTTTTAATATTTTCTACTAAAATGTGCTCAGAAAGCCTGAATTTTAATTTTTGAGTCTCCAGAAGGCATATGGGTCAATCGTGTTTTTAATTTCTCTCGGAGCCATTAATAGGTCATGTTTGGTTTAAAACAAAATTCTGAAATTGCAAAATATCGGGCTTTTTTGCAAGTGCTGGAAAAACTCAGCTTCAAAAACACTCAGGTGGCTGCAAAAATAAGGCACACTGGCCTTGCAGTTGGCACACAAAAAAAAAAAAAAAAAACTCAGAAATAAGGACCCAGTGGTTTTTATAGCATTTTTAAATACACTATAAAAAAATGAGAGGGACATTTTCCCCAATTTCTGAAGGAACCCTGTTTCACCCATTTAAATTGGGTTATTTACTTGAAAGTACATTATGGTCATTGCTATGGGAAAAATATGATACAATAATTTCTTGAACAAGTCTAAACTTGTCTATTTTGGTCTGAACATGCTCCATACATTAAAAGTATAAAATGTTATTAATCAATGTCCTCAATTTCATTTCTTATCAAGCTTTCAAATGTGATAGTGACATATAGCAAAGAAATAACAGTGTTTCTTAGAAACAAGTTGTTTTAGAACCAAATTGGTGAAAGTAAAATAACAAAAAACTACACCTAAATACAGCTCATATTTGGACAACTTTATTCAAAAAAAAATGCCTCCTAAAAAGAAATCATCTTTAGGAAGGAAATTGCCTAATGCTCTTGCAATGCAGCACCAGAAACAGCTGAAACTGGGAAGTAAAGATTGCTACAACTTGAAGAACAGAGGGCCAAAGATGATCAATGGAGACAGCAAGAATCTGAAGAACAATGATCACAGAGATTTCAAGGACTGAGGGTCAAATCTCAGCAGCTGAGACAACAAAAATCTGAAGAGGAAAGATTGTTAAGACTTCAAAAACTGAACAACAAAGGCAAAATGAATGTATGGAACAAAGGTTGTGGAACTGGGAAAATTTTTGTAACAACTTTAATACTGGCCAAACTCAGAAAAGAATACAGAATTGACCTTGATGTAGCATCATCTGGAGTTGCTTTTGCATTACTACTAGAGATAGAAATGCTCATGCTGCATAAGAGAGCTCTGGTAGGATATTGATCAAATGTTAAGAGATAAGAAACAGTCAGTCTCTAATGGGAGGAGTCACCTTAAACTAAGGTGACTCCTCCCATTAGAGACTGACTGTTTTCAGGCAAAATTTCAGTTATACCAAAAGGAACAAAAGCTGATGAGATTTGAGCATGCTTGAAATCTTCCAGACTTTGGCAACATGTCAAAACCATAAAAATGAAAACAAATAAGATGGCTGTTCTGTCTAATGATTGAATGTCTGAAGAATTTCTAAACAGATTATTATTTCTTGGAGAAGAAGCTCCTGTGGACAATGAGGGCTGCTTAAACATGTCACCAATAAGCACTCAGGTACAGTCTGGCAAAGAATTAATGACCAAAGTCTTTACAAACATGAATGAACATTATCAAAATCACAAATGGTTAAGTGAGAGCACAAGTTTGGCTCTAAAAAATATTACTGTCAATGCCATTAACTGGACTTTTGAAAATCCTCCCCAGAGTGTCACTCTTATAAGTCCATTAAAAGATCCTTCAGAGGCAGTGAATTATCCAGCTGAGTTTTTGAACTCATTAGATCCATCTGGACTACCACCTCACAAATTTAATCTCAAAGTCAGTACTCCAATATTGTTATTAAGAAATCTAGATCCACCAAGACTCTGTAATGGAACCAGATTTGGAGTTAAGAAAATGATGTTACACTTTATTGAAGCAACCATTCTGTTAGGATGTGGTAAAGGAGATGTTTTCATCCCAACTAATGTAACAATTCCTTTCAAGAGATTGCAGTTTCCAGTGAAACTAAGCTTTGCAATATCCATAAATAAATCCTAAGGACAGACCCTCTCAGTTGCTGGCATACACCTTGAAGAACCATGCTTTTCTCATGGACAATTTTATGTTGCATGTTCAAGAGTTGGAAACAAAAATAATCTGTTTTCACTCCATCAGGAAAAAACAAAAACATTGCTCTTTCATGAAGATGTTTCAATGACCATTCTCAATTTTGTTAAACATTTGTTCTGCTCTCATATTAGAATCATTTTAGAAAACCATGTTTGAATTGCTGTTCTTACTGTTATATACCATACCTATGAACATTAATGGGTATGTCCCAATCCTCATAACTACATTGGACACTATTGTAAGTGGGAGTAATATGCTGTCTAAGTAGTCCACCGCTAGCAGTGGTTTACCTACTTCATGCCGCTGGCAAGTATTGTATTTTGTCGATGTTATAAAGATTACCATTCTATTTCCAACCTCTGTTTTGGTTATTCCTCATTCAGTAACCTTTTCTAGGTTACAACACTTACATATTATACAAAATTAGAATAATTTTAGAAGATAAGAAAATTGTACTTGAATAGTTATATATTTCTATGTTTTTTTATATTTTTGTGTTTACATATTAGGATTAGAATATTTTTTTAAATAATTAGAATATTGTATTTGTTACGCTTTCATGTGGGCTATGTTTTTATGTTAATAAAGAAGTTTATAAAATGCTTACATTTTTATGAAATAAACTATTTCATCCCGGGCAATGCCAGGTACTTCTGTTAGTCTATATTACAAAAATAGAATTCCTCAAGTTAAATTTTGTCTCAACAAAAGCTGATAACACTGATGGCTAATACATATTTATTAATTCATTTTCATAAAGGATTTACAATTTGAAAATTTCTAAAATTGAATAAAATTTGGGTTGTGATAGAGATGTAATCAAGAATAACACTGTTAATTTTCAATCAATTTTTTTTTCATTAAAGTTAAATAAGTTTGTTAAAAAGCAAACTATTATTATTATTGACCTTTACCAACAGTAATAAAGTAGATACATATTGTACTCAGCTAAATCATTATATTCTACATATTAGTTATTTATAAAAAAGCGAGACAAATATATATATATATATATATATATATATATATATATATATATATATATATATATATATATATATGCATTCATTACTAACACTACAGGCTTAACACCAACATTGGAAATCAAACCAAGTACCTCCAACCCTCCATAATTTTTTTTAAGTGGATGCTCTTATATAAGAGGACAGAAGAGACTATTAAATAATCTTGCAAATGTCATTTTCAGTGTCAGAAAATAAATACAGTATGTAAGTAGGCAATGCAGAGGACAGAAAGAAAATAAGATATATTAACTCAGAGAACACAAGTGTTAATTCAATAAAATAAATTATATAAGGAATTATGGATGTATTGTAT